GATAAGGCATCAAAAGCAGCAGCTGTTGAGAGAGAATTTTATGCTAATGAGAGAGAAAGAGAGCTACTTAGGCAAGAAAGGGAACATGTTAGAGAAGAAAGACGAGCTCAACAAGATCGTGAGATTATGAACATGTCTTTAGAAGGGAAGTCTCCAAATTCTAAATTTTTTGGAAGTCAGAGAAAGCGGACGTGGTGCGAAGGAGGCGTGCAAGAGAAACAATAGCAAGCCAAGGTGGTTCTAGCACCGCAAGAGAAGATCATCCTAGCAGCACAAATTGGTTAAGTGATGATGAATAGAGTACCTTTTTGTAATCGGAGCCCATAATTTTCCAATCACTTTGGGTTGTAATTTATTATTTATTGTTTGTATTATTTATGTTGTTTCCATGTTCATGAATATTTATTCAAATTAATTTGGTAAGTTATTTATATTAAGAATTAATTTGGTAAGTTATTTATGTTGTTAAAAGTCCATTAAAAGTTCATCGTTCTAATTAAAAGTACTTTACATACATTACATATACTAAGAATTACATAAACATAAACATAAAAAAATTACATAAACATAAACATAAACATACTAAGAATTACATAAACATAAACATAAAAAAATTACATAAAAAAATTACATAAACATAAACATAAAAAAATTACATAAACATAAACATAAACATATACTAAGAATTACATAAACATAAACATAAAAAAATTACATAAACATACCAAATAATAAAACACACCAAATAAAATAACATAAACATACCAAATTCAAAATAACACACTAAAATGAACTTAATTATCCTCAGCTTGTTTCAATGCCCACTGGTGCTCTATCAAGTCAATTTGTCGGGCATTGTGCATGTCTGGCATTTGAAATGCAGTATATCGTTGAATGAGCCTTTCATTGTAACGTCCATCCCTTTGTAATGGCTCATGTTGCACGGGGTCATCGGTGGCGTCATGAGCACAATATATACGTGTTCTTGAATTGTTCATCGGGTCTGGCTCATATTCATCAACAGCTTCATAATCGTACTCATCTTCCACAATCATGTTGTGAAGAATGATGCACGTCATCATGATGGATCGAAGCGACTCTACATCAAACAATCTGGGCGCACCCCTGACGATCGCCCAGCGAGCTTGGAGGATACCAAAACAACGCTCCACATCCTTCCTGCACCCCTCTTGACAGCTTGCAAAGTGTTTTTCCTTCGCACTCCGCGGACGTGGCACTGTTTTGACAAATGTTGACCAGCGCGGGTAGATGCCGTCAGCTAGGTAGTATGGCCCGTCGTACATACGTCCGTTGACCTCATATGTAACTTTTGGTGCCTTTCCTTGCAGGACATCGTTGAACACTGGGGATTGGGCAAGGACGTTGATGTCATTTTGAGCTCCCGGGACCCCGAAAAAGGCGTGCCAAATCCATGTATCAAAAGATGCCACCGCCTCCAGAATGATACTTTTTGCCCCTTTTCTGTCCCCGTAAGCGCCTTGCCATGCACTTGGACAATTTTTCCACGTCCAGTGCATACAATCAATGCTTCCAATCATCCCAGGAAAGCCACGCATCTCCGCCTTCTTCAACAGCCGCTCCAAGTCCATGTGTGTGGGTTTGCGGAGGTACTCAGCGGTGTAGATAGATTCGATTGCTCCGCAAAACCTCATCAGGGACTCAAGAATGGTTGATTGCCCCATCCTCGTAATCTCATCCACTTGGTCTGCAGATGCTCCATATGCAAGCATCCGCAAGGCAGCAGTAATTTTTTTCTCCGGCAGTAGACCCATAGCACCAAAAGCATCTTTTTTTTGCACAAAATAAGAATCATGGTTGCAAACAGCAATCATGATTTTGTTGAACAAATGTCGTTCCATTCTAAAACGACGTCTAAAGTACGTATCAGGGAATGCACTATTAGGAACAAAATAATCATCCAAGAGTTCCATACCTCGTCGTTGCCTGCTTCTATCAAGGTTTCCGGAACGCCTGGGCCTGCAGATCTGAGCCGCAGCTTGGATGACTCGACGGGAATGTGAGGCTCTGCCCCTTCTTACGTCGTCATCTCTCATTTGACGCTCCTCATCTTCTTCCCTCTCATTTCTTACCCCCTGCTGATTGAACATTGATTCTGATTGGTTAAACAAGTCTTCCTCTTCCTGATTCAATTCCCACATCATCCTTGAGGAAGAAGAAGAAGACATTGAAAGAAAGAAACAGAAACTATGAATATTGAAACTGATTTTTGTGAATAAGGAAGCAGAAATTATGAATAATGATAGAGATCTTGAGAATTTTGGTGTGAGATTTGTGAAGATGGATGGTGGATTATATAGAGGATTCAGAAAGGATTAGGTTCTGCATAATGCCACGTGGCATGCCGTCATTCGTTAAAAATCTGATGGAAATCTATCATCCAAGATTGTTAACAGATTATGACACGTGGCATGCCGTCATTCGTTTAAAATCTGATGGAAATCTATCCTCAAAGATTGTGAACCGATTATGACACGTGGCGCGACGTGATTGGTTAATAATCTTATCAGAAATCCATATTCTAATTATTTATTTTGTATTATTTAATAATACTTAGGATAATGACACGTGGCGCACCGACAACGATTAAAAATCTTATCCGATATTACATTTAAAATTATTTTGTATTAATTTTATAAATAAAAAAAATACTAATATTTTATTGCCTATTGCCAGGGCTATAGAAGTGTAACGGTGGAGATGCAAAATCTATTGCCAGGGCTACTTACTGTTCATTAAGGGCAATTACTGTTCATTAGGTGGATTGAATAGTATATTGCCAGGGGGGAGGGCTCCAACGCTGGAGTTGCTCTACATTTTTGATGAAGTTAAATAGATGAAATATTGGAAAACATGATTGTACGTCCGAAATCAGGATAAATTTTTCAGTGTAATCAATACACGGGGTGGTACATCACATATCACTATGCAAATGATGGGATATATGTTTTAAAAAGTTAATAACTTGAAGAATAAAATTTCTCACAACTTATATAAAAACATGTGGTGTACCCTCGGTATTCTGATCACAATGAAAAATTTCTCCGAAATCAACCATTAATAATAGTTTGGGAGATTTGATCAATATAAAAGTTCAAATGAGAAATCAGCAATGAAGTACAAGATAGAATTGGCAATATACTTAGATGTAAATTAAAATTAACGATAAGTTTAAAAATTATGAAGATTTTGCCAGACGGAATTGCAATTGAAATTAAAGAAATGTTGGACCACATGAATTAGTCTGAAGATATAAGGTTTTCCTATTATAACAGGTTGTTCAAATGTTTTCTCTTTCTTTTACTTCTCAAAGTTTTCTTTTTTTATCAACAAAGAAATATATTTATAAACATGAAACCCTCTTCGCTGATAACAATCACGTCAATTGCCCAACAGGCTGGATAAGGATACTGGCAACAAAGTCAATTGCCCAAACATGAAACCATCACCCAAACATGAAACCCTCTTCGCTAATAACAGGCTGGATAAGGATACTGGCAACAAAGTCAATTGCCCTCTTCGGCCTTTACTCTTTTAAAATTGTTTTTCTTTTTCCGTGAGACTTTGGGTGATGGTTTCTATCAGCAAAAATGCTGTACTCGATAAACAAAAAAGCCCTTTGGGTAAATTACAAACTATTTTTCTTTCTTTGCTTTGTATAATCTTATTTGTTATTTTATTTATTTTAGTGCGACGATTAAAATTAAAGAGAAGTATATAATGGAGAAATATGGCACAGCAAAAGGGCACTTTGTTGAACATGAAGAATTCAGGGGTGAGATTGCTTTTAGGTGGGGAGCATTTTGCTCACCCTCATAAATTATGGTTATGATTCATATACACGTAATTACTTGTCACGTGTTCTTTCACTTAACTTTAGTTAATTTTTTTTAAATTGAAAAAATATTTTTTAATATGAAAATTAGCTAGAATTAAATAAAAGAACACGTGACAGATAATTAAGTATAATGAATATGCACTATAATTGTGGTGGTGAGCAAAAGAGTTTAACTTTTTGGTGCGGCTACCGTTCTAAACAATTGGAATTTGGAACCTTCAAGTTCCACTCCACCTCTTTCCCATTTGCCGTCTGGAAAACTCCATCCTTTTTATTTTTCTCATATTCGTTCTTTCTTTTGGCACATTTCTTTTTCCATTTTTAAAGGCATGTTGATAAAAAAAAAAATTAAAATTAAAAAAAATAAAATAAAATTCTGTAAAGGCTTAGTCATAGAAAAAGGAAAAAGAAATTGTTTTCACTAAAAACCTTTTTGTCGTTTCAATTTGAGTAATGTTAAAAAAATTAAAATTTTATATTAAATTTATAAATTAAAGGAATTGTTATTGGTACTCCAAAAATCTTATTTTGCACTACAAACTAACAATAATTAGAAAGAAAAATACACTTATGAGGAGTGTAGAATGAGATTTTTAGAGTGCTAATAACAATTCCCTAAATTAAATGACAAAAAAATTAATAATTCAATTATTACTTAAATGTTGATGTACTTATTTCTTATTATAACACTTTATTTAGTTTCTAAATTTAGTATACCTAACTCTCAACCGTCCCCGTCACCATCTCTTCTTCTCGAATATGTTCTTTTTATTATACTCATTTACATGACATTTTTATGACATATAAATAAAAAGTGCTTATTTATTTTTTGATTGATATAGTTTTAAAATGTGATATATAAATTATGTGTGATTTAATACTATAGTTTAGTGTCATTATTCTTTACTTTTAAGTAAGAGATCTTACGTTCGATTCACGAATTTGAATCACATTAGTATAGCTTATCAATATGAGATTTAATCACCTTTTTAATGTAGATATTATTTTTTGTCTGTACGTAAAAGTTTCTCCCTAATAAAAATTCTGATAAATCAAGACCACACGTTTTGGGTTCCACCATTATATCAAATCAATATACCTTTTGGTCAAACATTAATATTCATTTGCAATGCCACGGGTTACATACACGTCGTTGGTTCTCATCCCAGAATCTCCTCTGCCTCGCTGCCTTGCTGCCTCGCTGACTCCCTCCTCTCTCTCTCTCTCTCTCTCTCTGATTAATCTTTTTCTTACCATTTAAAATTTATAACAGTTAATTAAAAGCTCTCTCTTTCTCTCGCTATTTGTGTATTTCATTTCAGTACCCCTGAAAACCATCGCAGAGAGACCAAGAAAACGAAACCAAAGCTGCATACAACTTTGATCATCAGCAACAACCTTGTACGGTTCTGGTACTTTCTCAAAACATCAATCTTCTCCTTTTTTCTCATATAATTGTTGTTAGCTGCCCTGTTTTCTTAGAAATGTTTGTTCTTCCTGGTATTGGTCAGTTTAATCTTTCTAAATATTGCTGCAAATTGGTGTCTTTTTTCAGAGCTTAAGTTTTTGATTTCTCCCAAAGTTGCACCTTTCATATTTTAAGTCCAAAATTTGATCTTCGACATTATCAAAATTGTTCCTTTCTTAATTTTAATTTCATCTTTCATTGTTTCTAAAATGGGTTTCTTAAAAAAATTTAGAAAACAACATTTAAAGGGGTCTCTTTGATTGTTGAAAATTTCCTTCTTTTGTTTGTAATTTTAGTTTTGTTTCTGCTGTGCGCTATACTACTCAGGTGATCTTGCACAGGCTGGTCACATGGTGAAAAATAATAATATAATTTTATTTGGAATTTTTTCTTGAAAAAAAGTTGATGGGTTAATTTTTATTTAGAAAGTAAAAAATGGGTTTTATTTAGATTGGGATTCACTGTACTATATATATTTGATTCTGCTATGTCTCTGCAAGTTTCCTAAGGTGTTGACACATGGCATGGGTTTGTGTTGGTACTCAAGCTTCTTGTCGTTTTACCCCTTCTGTTTTCTTTTTCTTATTTTTTATGTTTCTGTAAATATTGAGGTGTATTGGTATTTGTAAATGCTTATCCTTGTTTCTCTCTCTTCATTGAGGTGGTGGCAGAATCGAGGAACTTTTTCTGTTGGTCTGTGAAGGCGGTGGTGGTGGGATTTTTGGGGTGATAGTTTTTTGAAATGGTGGGAGAGGGAAACATCAAGGCTGAGGACTTGAACTTGTGCTTTGAGAAGCTGAAGATGGAAGGAAGGGTGATGATCACCGATTGGAAGGATATTCCGATGGAGCTGCTTCTGCAAATCCTGGCGCTTGCCGATGATCAGACGGTGATCACGGCGTCTGGAGTCTGCCGTGGCTGGAGAGATGCTGCTTGCTTGGGCCTTACTCGTCTCTCCCTCTCATGGTATATATATTTTGCCTTCTCTATATTATGTTTTTTACTGTTCAAAGAAAGGAATAAATATATTAACATCACCTGGTGGCATATGACCTTCGAAAATACGATTTTTCGTTCGTGTGTGTGTGTGTGTGTGTGTTGGGATTAAGCCCCTGGTTCCAATAACTTCCAAAATTATCCGCTGTGTGTACAAATATTGCTTTGCTAGGTCGTTCTCTGTTTTCGTGTTATCCGTTTGGTGGTGGTGTTGCTCTTTGGGACACAATATGATTCCTTCGGTTGTTTTTATGAATTTAAGTTCATCTGAACGACTGTTTTTAGTTTTAAGATTATAAGAAATTGATGTGAACTGCAAGAGTATGCAGGGTTATGTGACAATGATTCTGTTATTAGGTGATTAGACTGATTGTATTGCTTACCCCTGCTGCGTAGTTGTAAAGATTACAATTGATTAACTTCTCGGAGTTGGTGATTGGCCTGTCTGAGGCTCGTTTCGAATTTCACGTTAATCTAGTGTGGGAGTAGATTTAGTTTGTAATTTGTAGAATGCTTATGCTTATTCGTTCGGTTTTATATCAAGCTGGATTTTCTTTTGTGAACTCACAGGTATTTTGAATCCAGGGTAGTGGCAATTTTTGCAGCTTACCCTATATTAATTTGTGTTGGGTGGTTGCAAATTAATGTTGCTAGGGTCTAGATACGTTTGCTTATGTTAAGAGCTCGATTCCTTAGATGGAATGAATCAAGGGGAAACCCTCATGTAGGATGCTGAATCAAACAAGGTTCAAAAAGGAACTAAAAATCTTATTAAATTTTAGGACTATCAAAAGATAGGAACTTAATTTTTCCAGGTGCCAATCCTTCTCCTCTGTTTCCAGAAAGGAGATAAGTGATGTGAATGTTTGTAGAAACTTTATGAATTGATTTAAGTCGTTCTTTTTATTTTAAATGCCAACTTGATTTGTCAAGTATGTTATCAGGTGCACCAAGAACATGAACAGCTTGGTCCTATCTCTAGCTCCTAAGTTTACGAGATTGCAGACTCTAATACTGCGGCAAGATCATAAACCCCAACTTCAGGATAATGCTGTTGAGAGCATTGCAAACTTCTGTCATGACCTGCAGGTCCTGGACCTCAGCAAAAGCTTCAAGCTCAGTGACCGCTCCCTATATGCCTTGGCTCACGGGTGCCCAAATCTTACAAAACTAAACATTAGTGGGTGCTCGGCATTCAGTGACATTGCTCTTGAATATCTTGTTGGATTTTGCCAAAAATTGGAAGTCTTGAATCTTTGTGGTTGCGTCAGGAGTGCATCAGACAGGGCATTGCAGGTAAAGCAAAGATTAGATATTTATTTATTTATTTTGTGTATTATCTGAGTTGGCTCTATTAATACAATTAAGATCGCGTGCAGGCTATTGGGCGTTACTGTAGTCAGTTGCAGTCTCTGAATCTTGGTTGGTGCGAGGATGTAAGTGATGTTGGAGTTATGAGTTTGGCACATGGATGCCCTGATCTCAGAACTGTTGATTTGTGCGGCTGTGTCTTAATATCAGGTATTTGTTTTACAATACTCGCTGCCTGTTACAGTTGGTTTTAGTGGTCATATTTCTTTGATGTTATTTTTCCACATGCATGCGTTGATGAGCGCATTGCAAAGTTGTACGTGTTGCTATTATGAAAAGTTGCATAGCCTTGACGGTGCTGCTTCAGAGTCGGTTATCACAGTCCATCGTTAACCTTATGGTAGCCATTTCATGATGTCTCAGTCAAATCCCTAATGGTTTGCTGGAAATTTTTAGGATATGCTCAGTTGACCCGAAAATATTATTGAACCAAAAGGGGAGACCCTAGAATTGAAGGTCTGATGCCTTTATTCTTTGATTGCAGATGATAGTGTGATTGCTTTGGCAAACAGTTGTCCTCATTTGCAATCGCTTGACCTTTACTACTGTAAGAACATTACAGACAGAGCAATGTATTCCTTGGCCCAGAGTCTAGTGAAGAACAAGCCTGCAGCAATGTGGGAATCCCAGAAAGCCAGGAACGACGAGGAAGGGCTTAGGACCCTCAACATCAGCCAATGCACAGCACTCACCCCTTCTGCTGTTCAGGCGGTGTGCGACTCATTCCCTGCACTTCACACCTGCTCTGGAAGGCATTCCCTCATCATTAGCGGCTGTTTGAACTTGACGTCCGTGCATTGCGCCTGTGCTGTCCAAGCTCACCGCACTGCCAACGCCTTTCCTCATTCAGCTCATTGAACCGATGAACGGAGATTAGGGTAACAATCTGGAAAAGTGTTGAAAGGGCCGATAACCCTTAACCACATTACATGTGTTTGTATTGAGATGTAAGATATTGGTCGCAAATGGGCAGCAACCATTTGTAGGAACCTACGGACTTTATCTTGACTTATGTTATCGGTTTTCGAATATTGAATTATGCAGCATTTTAGGATGCTCGAAAACAAATTTAGTTACTCAAAGCCGCTATGGAGGCCGTTCGCTTCTTAGAACACTTACCTGTCGACTCTACGAGTCCTGGCTGTTGATGCGCCTCCCGTATACAAGTCATTTAACCCTCATGTCCTCAACTTCCTTGGAACTTTGAAGACAAAACATCTAGTGTACGCAAAACCAAAAATCACTCAGATTAAACCAAAAATCACTCAAATTTGAAGCCGTTGGATTAAGAGTTTATGGTTTCTTAGAACCGTATCACAAGTACACCATGAGTGATTAAACTTGAACTTCCTTATTGGAATATTGACCACATGTTTCTATACCAGTTATACGCCAGGCATTGGGAACTGGGTGGTAAGAGCTTCAACTCTTGTCTGCAGATCGGACACTCGATCCTTTAGAGAGAACTCCGGGGAAGCTACAAACTTCATAAAGTCTTGAAGCTTCGGTCCTGGAACCGAGCGTTTGGCATCTATTGTTATCTGCACGCCCTCGTGAATGTGGTCGGCAACTGCTACGAATTCTCTCTCTGTGAACCCTCTCGTCGTCATGGCAGGCGATCCAATGCGAATGCCGCCTGGCACTACAGCACTCTTATCACCTGTTTCATCAGATAACAAGAACTCCAATCAAATTCAGTAGTTTAGCCTAATCCTCAAATCCATTGTCCTTCGTAATCATTTGATCCAAATGGGGACTTAAGACTCACCGGGTACTGAATTCTTGTTAAGGGTGATAGAAGCCATGTCAAGAATTTTCTCTACTCGAGCTCCATCAATACCCTGTTAATAAAGGAAGCGTCAAACAACATTGGTAAATTACATAGGTTATGAATCGATGCAAAAATCCAATTGTAACTTCAATGCTGAACCAAATTCGATAACTTGCAATTAGAGAATAATTATCCTCCAAGATGCCGTAATCTTATATTTCATCTACACATGAAGAAAACAAAAACAAAAAAGCCTAAGCTCCAGCAGTGAAGGAACAGTCAATTCATTAATTCGTCTCACTCATAACCTCTAAATACTAACCTTTCAAGAAATAAAAGATGTTAAATAACAAACAATAGCTAAACGTCCACATTTCAGAACAAGCTCTTATATGAGAAGCAATAAGAATTCTATATTGAAGTTAAAACAAATAAATTACTTTAACAATCTAGGAACTTACTAAAGGCCGCAGATCCACAAGAACCAGATGGTTATCGCTTCCACCAGAAACTAGTTTGTATCCAAGTTCAGTCAATCGACTTGCAAGAGCCCTACAATTAGAGACCACCTACAAGGTAGAGCAGCCCCACAAACTTAGGACATGCCTCAGACACTTTTTACATGAGGAAAGTATAATTGCAGTACCTGGTTCTGGTAAGCCTTAAATTCTGGAGACTGTGCATACTTCAGGCAAACCGCAAGGCCCCCAATAGTGTGGTTATGAGGACCACCCTACAAAAAGAACTCAAGCCTTTTATCGTTTTATCCTTTTTTTTCTAAATTCAGAATATAAATGATGAACTCTTACAGAAACAAACAACTGAATATATATAGTTCCAATTTTTTATCATGCAACAAGTACAACTAACCTGTAAACCTGGAAAAACAGCATTGTTGATGGCAGATTCTAAATCGACCCCAAGAACCGGATCTTTCTTGAAGAAGATCATTCCACCTCTTGGGCCTCTTAAAGACTGAAGAGAAATGTCTTAAATTTGTCAGATTATCCAATTGTGGATCACAACAAAGAGATCACATGCAAAGATGAAGCATACCAAGTCTAGAGGAGAACAAAAGTGGCACTTTGACATGTTTAGAAGTCCATAACTTTTTTGAATTTGAAAAAATTGGTGAAGTATAAATACATGAGTGAAGAAAACCTTGTGTGTTGTTGTGGTCACAATATCGCAGTGGTCAAAAGGATTTGCAAGCACAGAAGCAGCAATAAGCCCACTTATGTGAGCCATGTCCATCATAAGAAAAGCACCAACAGCATCCGCGATCTTCCCATAAAAATAGATGTAATTCATCAGTTGCCAAAGAAACCGGAGTGCTTATAAATGATAATAAGGAATGAGACATAAAATACTAACCTTCCTCATGCGAGGATAGTCGAAATCTCGAGGATAAGCACTAGCCCCAGCAATAATGAGTTTTGGTTTAAATCGGTCAGCCATTTCCTCAAGCTTGTCATAATCAACCAGACCTGGGTTTCGTTTTTGTTTTATTTTGGGAGAAAAAAACCAACATCATTTCAAAAGCAAATAAATACATATTTAGCACATCTGAAAGACAGCATCTTTCTTATTAAAAAAATGAAATGAATTACCTGTGGATTCATTGAGTCGATAAGACATGGACTCAAAATATATGGATGTGCCTGATACCCGCCGTTTAGGAGTCATGAAACCATGAGACAAATGTCCCCCATGAGACAAGTCCAAACCCTAAGTTACAACCACATTATTAGTAGACACCAATAGGAAAGAGTAAAACAAAGCCAAGAGGACAATTCACCATGAGACGGTCATGAGGTTTAAGAATTGCTGTATAAACTTCGAAATTAGCAGGAGAACCAGATAATGGTTGAACATTAACACCCCACTTCTTTCCATCTAAGTGAAATGCATCCAAAGCCCTTTTTTGGCATAGTGTTTCAAGCTCATCAATGTGCTCATTGCCGCCGTAGTACCTGAATGTATAACCAAATGATGAGATACTAATAATTTTAATAAAAGGTGCTTGTTGGACTCGCACTACTCTGAGTCTGAGAATATGTACCTTTTACCTGGTAATCCTTCTGAATACTTGTTTGTGAGACATGAGCCGACTGCCTCCATCACTGCCCGGTAAGTAAAATTTTCAGAGGCAATAAGCTCAAGGCTCTTGAGCTGACGCTCCTTCTCCTTTGTAATAATTGCACGTACCTCAGGGTCAGCCTCACTTAACCCATTGTCCACAAAACTGCTTCCACTACCTGTAAATCAAATAATAGAATTCATTAACAAGTCATACATAATTCATGGCCACCAACCAACGATTTGATACTTCATCAGATGCTGGGAAATTCGAGGCTGCACATATTGTTCTTTTGAAGATTTCTTTCTTTTAAAAAGATTGGTTCTTCTTTCAAGAATTAACTAATGAAATTCTGCAGTTCTACTGAAAGTAGTGATTACGAAACCTCTAAATACTGTGACATATGAGGAAAAGTTTTTTGCTGTTTTTACAGTGAAATTGACATCAAAGGTTCTATTACAGCACCATAACACTAGCAATACCAAAACCTAACAAATTCCGAATGAAAACCCTAAAAAATACATATCAATACAATCCACTAACGAAACCACAAATAAACAATCAGAAGTAATTGATATCGTTTCAACTGTTGGAGTATAACTACCTCCGATTTCAGGCAAGGGCACGGAGACAGAAGAAGACGGCCTTCCAGCAGTCAAGCTTCCTTCAATGTAAGAATAATATCTAGCAGTACCAGTACCAGGCTCACACGACTGAGCTTCAGCTGATGTGAATATCCGGTAAAACTAAGCCCTTTGTTGGGAAAAGCTATTCCCTTTGTCCAAGTGGGTTGTTGAAGAGAACCCATCACTGCAGCTCCACCACAAGCCTGCATCTTGGCTTCCAAATACAATAATACCTCACAAGCGTCCTGCAAACTCCACAGAAAACCCTGATATCAATAAATATATACCTACACACACACACACACACATATATATATATATATATATATATAAAGTATATGTATAGGGCCATATATCTTAATAAACAGAAATTATGCACAAAAATTCACTCCTTAAACTTGTTTTACATATGATGGGGATCTATCTGCAATTCAAAAGGGAAATATTTTGCCAAGCTGATGAATGAATGAATGAAATTACACTGATAATTTGTTGACAATTTATGCTTTTGACTGAAGAATGTATAATATAAAGAGGGATTAATAGTAAATTACCTAATAATCAGGTATGGCGGCGAGAGAGCTTCCTTTGCAATCCAGCGTAAGGGAATGAAACACAAAAGGGAAAACGGTGGCAGTGGAGAGGAGAGGGTTTAGTGCCTCAGGGTTTTTGTTCTCAAAACACCCGGTTGGCCAACTTTTATTTTTTAATTAAACAATTCAAACGCGAGGAAAATTTGTGGGGACGGAGTTAACTGGTAGGGAATCGACTTTAGAGGGTTACATCAACTGGATTGTCGATACTACCCTCCCACTTGTTAACTTTTGTGGAGATAATGGACGGAATCTGCTAGATCATCAACCTACAAATCCAAGTTTGATGAGATGTAAAAATTATATTGACGTTATAAATTTAAATATAATACTAACATGTATTAATAGAATTATTAACTCGACAATTAGATAATACTAACATGTATTAATAGAATTATCATCTTGATCATCAGATAAGGATAACATTAAATACATAGAAGTATTGTTATCAGTTTCCTAAATTATGCTTATTTTTTAAGGGCAAAAATCTGATTTTTCCTCTTAGAAAAATTGTAAATTTATAATGGACAGAATATGTTAGAGTACGTTTATTTACAAGGACTTGGAAGTAACATAACATGTGTTTGTTAACAACCAAATGAATGAATAAAAATACCAGGGACCTATTGGTTTTTGATGCCTAAAAAATTAAAGGTATCCTATTTATTTCATGCTTATTTCTTCTTAAACTAATTTCTTCTTGTCTTTGTACTACGTAAGTAAACATGCTCTTACTTTATTTTCTCCTTTGGTTCACGTGATAACTTTCTTTACAACCCGGAGGCCTCCCTGCTTTAGATTAAAGGAAAATATGCATCTCTATACAAATAATTTCATGTAAGGTTAAGATTTTGGGACACAAGTTTCTTTTTCCAAAATTAAGAAAAATAATTTCATGCTTACAAATCTTCATGTACAACTAAGATCAAGAGACTCACGTTTTTTTATATTACATTATTACAGAGCTCACTTTATACTCTATTTCAAATATTCAACTGTCTATTTAAGAATACTCTAATAGATGAATACTGTAATAGATAATATTATAAAAATTCATCTAAATCGAAAACCATATTTAACCGTCAGACTTAAATATAGTATTTCTGTTTATTTTCTTCATTACTAATGTGTATATGAATAACTATTATGAATGAATTTTTGCAAAAATAATTACAAACTAAAAATGGTATTTTTTTACTCGTTCATTCTTTTCAGTACTATATGAAAGTTTTAATATTTTCAAAAATATTTTAAAAATGGTATTAATATTTAATATACTGAGTTATAAAATAACTTTTTTATAATTTTAAACAACGACATAATCCAGTAATTACCTACAATACGAGCCATATACAGCTTTAAACCTTCGAGTACTCAAATGCGAAACTTTATACTTGAATTGTAAGGGGCACCCACAGAGGTGCGCCCCTCCAAAAATTGGCGTATGCCACTTGAAGCGACGAGCACACGGTATTCTTTAGTAAAAGGCGAAAGAATAGTTCGCTTTGTGCTCAACGCATGGCTCCGTGAATCATTAAATCCCCAGGCTGCTTTATTTTATATTACCGACTCCTCCTCTTTCTCGCTTCTCCTCGTCGATGTGGGACTAAAACCCATACAACTTCTAGTTTTAGTTCCACTTGATTAAACCAGACAGCGATTAATTTTGTCTTGCTGCATTGGGGTTGAAGCAGTAGCTAGTAAGATTACGATTCTATTTTCTCCAATTTTCAGAGAGGTATCAGCAAATCACAGAGAAAATTTCATATATAATATTGATGATTAACAATATATCACTGCACTCGGAAAATATTTTTGAAAAATGTTGTTCCTCAGAAGTATAAAGGCATTGGGTAGATACATTGACACACAACACTGGCTTGCATCATTCAACATCATATATTTTCATTTTCTTTTGTACACAATCTCTTCATCGTCGTCAACGTCGTATGCTGGATTACAAAGGCATCGGAAGAGTCTGCCAATACCCTGCTAGGGAAGAAAGAAAGATGAACCATCAGCCACGGCTTCTTTCTAGCTATTATTTCTTTGTTCGTCGATATATTTATATTTGTTTTTAAACACATATGTAGATTAGTGAATATATGCTTTCGGTATATTGCGTTAGGTGTATAGGATCTTATAACGTGCCTGAGTGAGAAGGGAGTTCTATATGAAAGCGGTCGTGGAGAATCCTCTTCAGAACTGCTATCTGAACTGCTTCCATCATCATCCGTGTCAACAGAACTTTTCCTTCTTGACGTTCCACCATTTCGCAGTCTGCTTTTCCTCCTTAGACCAGGAAACAAAGGAAAATTGTAGTGTCAGCAGATCATCGGTGTCTAGACGTTACATAATATCTAAGTTCGATCATTGATTAACATTACTCATATGTTAGCATCGTTTTCTAATAACTTGACAATTGAGCATGTATCTACAAACATACAAGGGAATTATAGGCATGAAAAACCATTGCACTCAGGTTTATTTCTTAGGTAGATGATCGATCAAGATGACGATATCAAATGCATCATACATAAAAAATGTTCCTGTATAAGGATTTTGCAGAAAATTGTAATCAACTGAACCTGAAATATCCTTCCCAGATGTTTTAACGCCAGAGCACGAGCTTTAAGTTCCTCCTTCCTAACATTATTTTCCCGTAAAACCTGAAGTCAAATTTCGAATCATGAGAAGGATCTGCACCAATCTTTTGAACATAATTCTTGCCAACACACTATAAGGAACTCAGCCCCAAAGACACTGTGATTTCTTGGCTTCCGCTCACATAAACTGTAAAACCGTTGCTTTGTGAGTTCAGCAGGGAGACGTTATAAACTGACAGGGGTAAGAAACAATGTGGGAGATGGAAAAGAGAAACGAGTTCCATGAAAACTTAAACTTGATGAAAGAAACAAGTGCCCCATTGATTGAAAGAAACCACTAACCATTTGGCAAACATGCAAGAGCGTTACTTCGATGTCCACCACATTGAGTTTCCACAATGAGTTCAAAAGTGTGTCTTTGTTTAAGCGTATATGCGATTCAACATCGTTTTCAGGGCCACTACCATCCATTTTAAATTGCCGACGGATTTCTTCCTGAAGCTGTAGCAACTGATAAGCACCTGAACTCAATTTTATTAAACTTATTAGTTGAAAAAATAATTAAAGTTCCTAGTAGAAAGTATGAAAAGCAGTGACTGAGGGGCAAACCTTTGCATGCAGTCATCTGTGACTTCCAGAAATGTCCCTTATTACGGACCCACTCAGCCACGAATGGTACCCCTAGGAATATGGTTTTCTTTCCAAGCTCTTGTGCTGCTTGTCTTGAATATACGTAGCCAATAGTGTGCAGCATATCAACTCCGAAGGCTGCAAGTGTGACAAAGCATTAGTAATCTTCTCTATGCAACTTACAACTTCCACACTATGATACAATCACTATTATATAAACTCATGACGCGAAAAGACAGATGGGGTGTCAAATGAGCAAAATACAATCAGTTGCTTTGTCAAAGCATACAAAAGTTTTGGTAGAGTCGGCTTCAGAAACTTATCCCACAATCGTTCTCCTGAAACACATGCAGGTTCAATAATGTGGATAATACGGGCTCAGAAATTAGTAGCTACATCAAGCCAGAGTAATAGGATTTAGAAAGACAGAGAAAGCAGGTACATAAAATCAAAGCAAATAAAGATGCAACGGCAAATTTTAAGAAATGCATGACTACTTTCATTTGAAGCGGTATAATCCGAGTTATGCATAAAAATGGTCACTGGATTTGAAGTGATATATGAAGTTCTTGTGCAGAACTTAAAACACCAAGTAAAATATGTTCTAATTGTAATATTATGCCATGTCTTCATTAATCAAATAAGAAATAAAACGAAACTTAGTTGACCTGCATCAGAAAGTCGTTTAGCTTCGGATTCAGCATGCTCTAAGAATCCCGCTTTGTCACCAAGAACATATTGGTTAAGAAGACCTTTGAGCGAGCTAGCGAGCTTTTCTTCTCTTTCTTTCTGGACAGCCTGCGTTTTGTAGAGGAACAATTGCATAAAAGGATTGAGAGTTAAGGAAATTAATGATAATTTCAAAGTGAAAGTTACGCCTAGCTATAAGATAGCCTGAAGATGCTGAAACTATTGCAAACAGATGTGAAATCGTCAAAGAGTGGTAATTAATGGATTCAGGCGGGAACACCTTATGGGAACCGAAGTTTTCAACCCAGCCATGGCGCCACCCCATAAAATTTTACATATAGCCAGACATCAATTATGCATTTCAGTCACTTGCATGAGAAGAATGAACAGATTCCTTCTAAGGAGAAAAATACTAGTATTTAGTTCATTCTCGAATTTACTTGCCTTCAATTTATCGTGCACCTTCTCGGTGCTGTCACCTTCACCAGCTAATTGAGAGGAAGCCATTGATGTTACTGCTACATGTCCTATGTAGTCCTCAAATAATTCACTTCCGAAAAGAAAAGCAAAAACAGCTGTGGGATCAAGCATGGTTTCCCTTAAGAGAGACATCAAATTATTAATTATCAGGAAAAGATCAATGCACAGGAGATTAAGAATTAATAACGTTCTACCACAATACTTTCAAATTGTGTCAAGAATGTCTTCGATGAATAACGGCAAGAACAAGTAACAAAGGCTGTAAACGATCAATTAGCATGTGTGTGTGCGCTGCGCACATGAGTGTCTACGAGCATAAGCAAATGTAAGTATTCTACCTAGATATGCAATGCTTTCCATTTCGATCATATGCATCTCTTTGCACCGGATCACTCAAAACCTGATAAGCTTCGCCTAGTACCTGGTTACAATAAGATTTATTAGATAAACGAAGAGAACAATCGCTCAAAATGTAGGAAATCCAACATATATGGCCTCACTGAAATTTACTTGCAGCAGAGTAAAGTAATGACAGGGCAAGGCTGCCATAAATATTAGAGTTGATTGTCTTGAGGGTGGAAACCAATAATTCTTTAGACACCATTTGATTCATAAGGGTGTAGAATTTGGTTAAAAGAAGGATTAAAAAGAGGTGGACTTGCCTGAAATCTTTCGGCAGCCTGAGGATCATTCGGATTTTTATCCGGGTGAACTTGCTTTGCCTGCACAAATATTAACTTCTCCCTGTTAAATACTTGAATTTCTGATAGAAGTTTACTAGAATATGAAGATATAAGCTGCATTATTTCGCCAAGATTTGAACAAAATAAAGCATAATCCTCAAACAAACATCACTGTAAAGCGATTTATGAATGAATCAGCTAGATATAACCAAAAAATAATAAAATCAAAGGAAGCAACACTGATCAACATTGAAAATAAATTATGTAAATAAAATGCAAATATTGTTAAATATACTAACATGCTTATCGAATTAAGGCCTTGTTTGGTGTCCAAGATCGGATTGGATTAGATTAGATTTGATAACTCAGTAGTTCAATGTATGTTGAAAAGTTAGCAAGAGATGCACGTCGCTGAATCTAGTGAGTTATCGAATCCAATCCAATCCAACTCCATACACCAAACGAGGGCTAAGCTGATAAATGGAGGAGAAGAACCTTAAGATAATAAGCTTTGCGAATTTCCTCCTCAGAAGCGGAGGGAGTGACGCTGAGGACATCGTAGTACTCAGTTTCTTTCACCATCTCTTGCTTCAGCTGATCAGCTGATCAATCTGGAAACAACCACTAAGCTCAGACAAGGAAAGCTAGAGAGAGAAAAAAGGATAGAAAGAGAGCATTGGCATTGCAGCGAGTGACTTTTGCAGGCTTGGCTTTCCAGTTCCACGGAAAAGAAAAAAATAAAATAAAATAAACAAACTGCTTTTTCGCGGGAGCGGAAGGCAACAGTTCTTTTTAACTGTCTGTCCCCATGGAGTCATGGACAATGGTGGCCCTTATGATTACCATGGATAGACAGCAGCAACTGCCATCTTACTTTCCGCGATTTCTAGTGTGTTTTGGTGTATAATATACCGAATCTTTTAGTTCTTAGATCCATAAGATTTAACGACCAAAACTCATATTGTATAAAATACACCGGAAACATGTTAGAAGTTTCGTTTACGTTACCGTTTTACTTTTATCATTTTGAGTATGTTTTGATGCGTAATATATTCTTTTTTTAACAGTTAGATATTCTTGATCAGAAATTTAATGATCGAAATTTAACGACGTTGTATAAAATACACAGGACACGTACCAGAATTTTTGGTTACTTTATGTTTTTTTATCGACTTTCCAAGGTTTTCAGAGCAGTCGCTGAGTCACTGAGTTGGATGCTTCGCTGTTGTGGGACTCTTGCCTTTTTTTTCCAAGTGCAGGTCCATGTAATGTGGCTTTTGCATGGGCATTTTTCAAATAGGCGACCCAGGTGGGGAATTCATTCGGAGGCAGGAACTCCACTTCTTTCCTTTCAAATGGGTTTTTGAGATCAATCCCCATCAAAATGGAGATTTTATTATCTAACAATTTTTTCTTTCCAATAATGATATTTTATTTCAGATTAAGGGGTGAGGATTAAGATTAAGTTATATGCTGGACTCGTCATAATAATGAAGTATCTAATTTGTCGCTTATGGGAGTCGAATTTAAGACTTTTCGAATACAAATAAAGAAAAATGATATTAGATTGTAATTATAGTGATCATGATTCTAAAAGACACTAGGCGTTAGTTGAGCGCAAGTAAACAGGCTTGAGAAGGTATTCGAGCTTGAGAATGCGGTATTTGGGAAGACATTTGAGCTTGAGAAAGTGAAACCGATGAATGAGAAGTCATTGAACTCTAAACCGATGAATGAGAAGTCATTGAACTCTACCCAATTGAAGCTTGTTGTTGTGTCTGTGAATTAAGAGTAAGAGAAACAATGCTTGAATTCAAATTGGTCAACTCTACCCAATACAAAAAGATAAACAATATAAATTAAATTAGTTGTTATAAGCTTTAAAAAGCCTAAAAATATTTTTTTATACTATGTTGTTCGTTTATGTTTAGTTTGCGGTTCAATTTTAAAACTGTAAAAACTAAACCATGCGGTGCAGTTTGATTTCATCCGTGTTTTAATTTTAATTTTCGGTTTCAAATGCTCACCCTTAGAGAATTATGAGATGAGATGATTAAAAGAAAAAGAAATCTAATTCAGATCATATTTATTCAACCTGAATTTAGATTTAACCCGGCCCAATAAAAAAGAGTCGATCCATTCCAGCCAACATATTTTGGGCCTCCATTTTTGTTCAGCTTCCTAGTTCGTGGTTTGCGTCGTTTGCTCAGCTCAGCTCCGTCTCCCAGTCCGCTGCATCTCTTTCTCACACATCTCTCTCTCTCTCTCTCTCTCTCTCTCTCAACACACCGGCCACTGGCTTGCGAAAAGAGAAGGCAAGAGCTTGAAGCACATACAGGGTTTCCGCGTTCTTCGAGGTAATGTCATCTTCCCCGACTTTCAGACTTTAGGGCTGTGAGATTAGAGTAGAAAATTTCATCAGGGTTTAGTGCGGGTTTTTCAATTCATGAAATTCTTGATATCCGCCATTGAAATGGAAACTAATACGTTTGAATTGTGCGTCCCAAACTATATACTGGGTTTCTTTCAATTTATGGGTATTTGAGTGTGAGGGATGTTAAAATCAATCTTTCTGTGCTGGTTTGATGGAAATGCTTTTGCTCACACCACCGCATTGATTGCCGTTAATTGAGTTTAAATTTCGAGATTTGTGCAGTAGAGTCTAACGGCAATCAATGCGGCAGTGAGCAACATACAGTATGGTTTGATTTGTGGTCCACATTTTGTTGTTTTATATTCGATTTTGTTTGAGCTCATTGCAAGTGATGGGTAATTTGATTTCAGACTGGGACTGTTTAAGGACATTCATCAACACTTGAAATAAAAAATCCATCTTTCTGTGATTGAAAAGATGGGATTCGGAGCCCTAAGGTCCATTGTGCGACCTCTATCGCGGACCATAATATCCCGAACCACAACTTCCTCGATGACGTCCATAGCTGCCAGCTGTGTGTGCCCAAAACCTGAACTCCCCTTCATTTCTGGTCGCCAAGCCCCATGGTTTTTTCCTGTCTCCAACTATTTTCACAGCTTGACAGATACTCGTTTTCCCAAACGTCGACCAGTCGACAAGCCGCGTCGAAAAAGGGCTAGCGTAAGACCTCCAGGTTTGTTCTTCATCCTCAACCTAATACTCCTAATTTTAGTCGAACTCGTACTGAACAATTACCTTTTGGATATGATATGATTGAACTGTTGGAAATGTTGTGTTTGGTTTCTGAGGAAAGAAAGACACTTTCTTACCTTGAGTGTTGGCAATGCTTGGCTTGTTGATTTACATTTTGGGTTTGGGAAGTGCTTTAGTTGGGTATTTGAGTTAATTTTAAGTCGATTATATTATTATTTGCTTGCAGGACCATTTGCTGCGGTTCAGTATGTTCCTGGTGAGCCAATAGTTCCTAATAGACCCAATGAAGGAAGTGTGAAGAGGAGGAATGAGAAGAAGCGCATGAGGCAACGCCGCGCATTCATATTGGTGTGTGTTTCATGAATCTTATTATGTCTTAGGCTTTTGTTGTCTATTATTGTATAGAAATACAAGTGCGTTTAAAGAAACTAGAAAAGGAATCACATTATTAAAGAGTGTGTTTCGGAACTTCTTGATGGTTTTCTGAACTGTAATCACTTATTCACAAACCTCCCCAAGCAATCTATTTAGTGTGAAACTTTTTAACAAAAGACTTTGATACAATAAAAAGTAAAACCATTTAATATAAGTTGTAGTTTATTTTATAAAAAGTTGTAACGTATTTATATAAGATGGCTGATTATTCAACATAACGCTTATGTATGCCAAATTTTCTAACGTTAATGTACAAAGAAAGGCTATGCATGATCACTCTCAATAAGCTAATTGGTGAAATCTCTAATAAGAAATTGTTTCAAGTAGAATACTGCAAAGGATTTGCGTTGTCCTTTTTGTTTTTTGTTTCAGATTACAGAGTGCGATTATCATACTCAGAAATGCTTAGTTTTCCAGTGAAAGTTTAAAGAAAGGACATCTTTCGTCCTCACAGTAATAATATAGACAACTCTTCTAGTTTCTTGTGGATAGTGGAATACTAATTTCATGGATAGAGCTCGGATACAGTATGATGAACTATGCGATTTAATGCTATATAGCTCAGTAATGCATATCTAGAGCTATTTTCGTGAAGCAGCATTCGTATACTTGACATGGTTTGCTTGCATAAATAGATAGAAGCTGTTCAATCTCCAAATCCTGCTGTTGTCTTGACGGGGCAGCATAAACTTTTTTCTGGCTAACTGATTACTTGTTTTGATAGTGCCTACACCGGTTAGGAAGTTAGTGAATATAGACTGTTATACTGAGGCATATGAAACAATCTTGTGTAGTTTCGCATTTCTGTTGGGAACATGAGAAACCATCATCACAATGGAGTCGTTTTGGCCTGGGATAATCCTTTAGGTTGCGATGGGATTTCAGTTTCTTCCGACTTGCATACCATACTTGACCTTCAGTGTTCGTTGACCCCTTAAGCAGAAATGTCTCTCCTCCTTTTAACAGGCACTGTGTTTGAATTTGTGCAGGCAGAAAAAAAGAAAAGGAAAGCTCTGGTGCAGGAAGCTAAAAGGAAGAAAGTTATAAAGCGAGTTGAGAGAAAAATGGCTGCTGTTGCAAGGGAAAGAGCGTGGACTCAAAGACTCGCCGAGCTGCAGAAACTGGAAGAAGAGAAGAAAAATTCCATGGCTTAGTGTCACTATGGAACCCCGTTGCAGATTGCAGTTTGCTGAAAGTTCTCTATTACCAACGAGCACTTGACTTGGTCTCACCGAGGTCATTATTTCCATAGTGTCTCTCAATTAGTAAACCTCTACCCTATTTTGTGTTTTCCCGGCTGTTTGGCGGACAGTCTCTGTATTTTGGAGATACGCAAACACTGGTGTTCTTTAGGCCATCTTGCTTGTTAAAGTTTTGAGTATTCGTTTCGTTTAAATAAGATACAGATTGAGCTCGTTTATTATCATTGCAGGTTAAGGGTTTATGGTTTAGCTCAGAATGTTGGGTATTCTGCTCAGACAACAAATTGTTGGTTTAGAAATTGCAACTCCATCCCCAGAGACTAACATACGTTGGACTCATTTAGTTTCCAAATTCACTTGAAAACGCAATAGTTAGTCATCTACCACATGCATGTTACCAACGAAATAACGCCATACGCTGGTAATGCCATGCGGAGCATGTAAAACTCACGCGAAACATAAACCCAAAACATTAAACATTTCGATACATCAGTCATACAGTTCACTTCAGTTAAACCGGATGGCGTTTTGTGAGGAAGAAAACAAAGGGAAACTACGCGAATCTTAAACTCCAGTTACCATCAGCAGCAGCCACTTGATGCATCAGATTCTGGAGGTTTTTGCTTGAAGATGTTCTTTTTCACACCCGCTGAGCCCTCAGCTACGAGACTTGGTGTTTCCAATATCTGCAGCATCGCATGGTACTATCACATCAGCACAAAAGCACACATCCAACTAAACCCATAATCATTACCATCGGCCAGACAATCATATCGCTACGAACAATCATTTATGTTCATTCTAATATATAAATTGCAAACTATAGAATGCAAAAACAGCTTGTAAAGCAAAAACCGACAGATTTGACACTATCAAGGCACTATGAGAAAACGAAGCATGATGCCACTATGAAACGGAAGTGATTTCTACACACCTTTTTCGCCCCCTACACACCCCTATTTATTTCTGACCATTGGATCCAAAGGAGAATCAAGAAACATAACTGAATAGGGGGTGCAGAAGGAGAAAGTAGGTGTGTGAAAATCATTCCGCTGAGATTACAGTACCAACAACCATTTCCAATGTATCCATGTCGTGAGGGCTAAGCATGCAGCTACGAGGCAATCCAATAATCTTAAGTAGTACGTAGAGAAAAGACAGAAACCATAATCTTGCATACCTTTAAGACAAGCTCCTCAAAGCACTGCTCTACATTTACTCGAGTTTTGGCACTGCACTCAAGAAAAAGGCATCCATATTCCCTCGCAAATTCCATCCCCTCTTTTTTACTTACAGTCCTTTCACTTTCCTGGAAAATAAGATAACCTCAACATGGATTCTTGTGGATGGAATGCAAGAATAAAACTCGTATTTCGCATAGGCATAACAACAAGTGATGTAATTTGGGGTTTGATTGTAATACTGGCGTACTGATTATGAATTCAAAATCTAAATTTCTCCATTCCCTTCTATTTAATCTAACTTTCCTTCTTTTGAAACTCTCTATTTTGTCCCATCAACACTTTTACGAGTCTAGTAAGCGGAAGAGACATGGAGTTCAGTGTTTACACACTCAACCAACACCAACTTGGCCCGAGACCATTAGTGAAATACTAAAAGAAACAACTAAAAATACAATGTCCAGGATGACATACCTTATCGACTTTGTTTCCAACAAGCATCTTGATGCAATCTTGATTTGTGGAGTACAGATCGATTTCTTTAGCCCATATATCAGACAAATTCGTAAACGTTTCTCTTCGTGTTACATCATACACTGCACCAGACGAATATGTAAATAACTACAAAATCCCATTGATTCCAAAACAAACAGTAGCTACAATAATAAACGCGAAAGAATGAATCATACATACCCATTATTATCCCTTGAGCTCCTCTGTAATATGAACTAGTAAGTGTTCTAAATCTTTCCTGTCCAGCTGCATTATGCACAGCAATTCATCTTTATTTCAGTGGATTTATAACTTGCAAACAAAGTCGAATCAAATCGAGAAACTTCATACAAAATCAAATTAGTACAATTTCCTTATATGCATATACAATGGTTTGGGAAAGAGACTATAAGAAAAGATATTGACTACTAGGAACTAACGGAAGGTGCAAAACTGAGCGCAATGGTGTTCTAGGATTTATCGCGCCAACCCCACTTAGCGGATAAGGCTTGGCTGTTGTTTACATGGACAATGATATATATAATCAAGCTATTCAAAATATTAACTGAAGAACACCACAATGTTGCACAACAAATATTTGAATTAAACTCCATAAATTAATACAAAATATAATATAACAATTAACAAGTACTTACCTGTGTCCCAAATTGCAAGCTTTAATTTTTTGCCCCCAAGAGTGACATGCTTTATCTTAAAATCCACACCTACAAAAATTATTAAAATTACTAATTAGAAAAATGGAAACTTTGTGCTTTCTTTTTTCCACAAGTAATTAGTAAAAACAATTTTGAAAATTAGGGGAATGATAAGGTTACCGATAGTAGGAGATAGATCCTCAAAAGTATCGGAAGTAAAACTCAAGAGCAGCGTGCTCTTCCCGACCCCAGAGTCCCCAATCAGCAACAGCTTGAACAAGTAATCAAACTCCGACTCCCCAGACGACGTCGTTGCGTACTCCATCGTAATCAAATTGCACAAAGAACCATAAAAGCCGCCGATCGCTAACGGAAAATAAAGGAGGAGTTTTACTGTTGTTTGCACTTTGCAGAGAATCGAAGGAACTGGAGAGGCACTTTCTGGAGACTTCTTTATTGCGGTGATCGCGTGCTACGTGGAGACTCGGTTTATGATGCTACCGACACTGACAGCCGTTGGATTGACGCCACGTTGTAGGTTTCTGCTTAGGTAACGTGTGGGATTAAAATAAATGAAGGAGAATCCTTTCCTAATTTTCTTTGTGGGAATTCTGGAAATTTCCACATTCAGTGATCTGAAATTATTTTAAATATTTTTATTTAAAATTAAATGCAAGTAGTATTTAACAAAAATTAACCGCACAATATACGATAAATGAACATAATATAAGAATTCTTAAAATTCTCACAAAATGAATGATTCTCATTCAATCACGTGCGCTACGCGCATCTAAATATGTCTTGCTTTAGTTTTTTTCATTGTAATTGTCAAAATAGCTCACTAAACAGATTGAAAACGACAAACTCACGACATCTTTAAGGGCGCAAGAAATTTGTTTGATAACTATGTAAATGAAAATGACATTAATGTTTAATTGTGCGGCTTATGTCACATTTTTCAAGCCATATATCATGATCAAATGATGGTATGTTTTGATGCATTGATTCAAAACAAAAGAATGAACAATATGTACATACAAAAACACAAAGTCTACTTGTATCGTGATGGTGCCATTACTAAATCATGGTCACACAAGAGGCATTTTTTTAAGTACCGGCACTACGCGGTTTTAATTATATGTTGCGTCAATTGTTTTCATGCAATAATGAAACAACACTTGTGTGTGAGAGGATTAAAACAGCCTTTTTTTAGGAGGCATTAGGTTTTCATTTGTCTATCGACATTTTTATTCATTGAGAGCTGATTGATGAATTTTAAGTGTTTGCGAATGGTGTTTTCTTAATTGGTCATGCTTAACTTGTTTATATTTTCCTATAGAAGATGAAAGTTTATTACATTAGTTTCCAAGCTCTTTATTAGTAGATCGCCTAATCATGTTTTTATTCTTAACAAAAATGGTTCTAACAATTTTGTTTTTGTTTTTATAATCAAACCCGAGCCTTTTTCTATTAAAAGTGCAAATGGAGGTTGTTCTCTTAATTTAAAATTCGTGCAAAACATGTATATCTATCGTATTTTGGAGCACTGTAGAAGGTGTTCATTTTTATAACATTCTAATAAAAAATACAATCACATGCATGAAAAACAACAGATAAGATACAGATAATTACTTGATAAGACAATTAATTACACGCGAACTTTGAAGTTGTTCCATTTCATATTCCTAAAAAGAAAGTAATCAAATCCTTTGCAGCCTGAATGAGCCATGAACCTATAAATTAAGACGATCCATTATATACAGAACAAAAGAAATAGGGGAAGATTATTAGAGAAGAAGAATCAATTACATACAAAATTATGCCAAATCACAGAATACTACCTGCACTCTTAAGTATGATAAACTACATTCCTTTGAATCTTACACTAATTAATACTAGCAAGGTTCTAAAAATCGTTAGGCACCTAGTCGGGCAGTGGGTAGGGACCTAGTCTAGGTGGTTTTATGTAAATTTATTATATATCTTGTAAATAAGTGTCTATTTACACCTAAAAAAAAAAAACTATACTTGTATGAATATAAAAGAATGATAAAATGCAAGAATAGAAGTAGAAGAATACACAAATTATATACATCCAAAAAGTTCAATATTTAGAAAACAGTAAGCATATGATCATAATGAGGAGGATTTGGATGATAGACTAAATTCTTCTTGTTCATAAATCATGATCATTGTATTGGATTAGACATAGACTAAATTATTTAACCTTGTTGTATCTAGTTTATTTCTTTTCTTTGTATATATCACCTAAAAAATGCTCCAATTCGTCTCACTGTTGGATGAACTTGTAGTAAATCCATCATTTGCAAATTAGGTACATCATTTCCATAAGTATACCACCATGAAACTAAAAAAGAAAAAAGCACACAATTAATAAAAAAAATATAAAAAAAACAGCCCTAGGACCGCCTAGCTTCCAGCCTATATTTTCAAACGCATTCCCCAAAATCGAGGAGGGGTACCACCGCTTAATGCCTAAGCCGATTTTTAGAACAGTGATTAATAGTGAAGCAACTCTTTGTTGAACAATATTTTAAATAGCGTAAAATATTTAATAGTCAAGCAACTCTTAAACCTCAATCTGACAACCATTTTCATGGTTTGACACACTAGCTTCAGAATCATTACACATGTAAAACCCAAAGGGGGCGTTTGTTGCGCCGAACTATCTCGGACTCGATTAGCTTCAAGGACTAAGCTGGACTGACTTAGACTAGACTAAACTGGACTAACTTAGTGAAGCGTTTGGTGCAATATTGGACTAAGAAGCTGGATAATAACAAATTCTAATATTATATTATTTAATATATAAATTATTAATATTTTATTATGATCTTATCTTTTTCTTCATCTTTTCCTACCATTTCCGTCCCACTCTTTTCCTCCTCTCATCGTCCCAACCTCTCCCTCTTTTTTTCCTCTTAGACCTCTCAATTCATGTCTCTTTCTCATTCTTGGTCAAACTCCTTATTGATTCCAATGTCTATTTCTCCGTCCTCCCTCCCTCTCTAGCTATGTGTTGTTCGAATGGAACCTCACGGCTCCAATTTTCTCGACGAGTTGCAGGTTTCCCGATGTGTTTTCCGGCCAACCCTCGTTAAATTGGATGAAGTTAGCACCGCCAAAAAATTCATCACCATCCCTAGACCGAGATCTTAGCTTTGAATGCTCGAATCTGTCATGGATTTGTAGAAGCCCAAACAGGCCGAGACTTCCAGGCCATTTTCCGGCCACATTCGACCACATTTTGGCCTCTATTAAGGTAAAATCGTAATCATGTCACTCCCAGCTTCAATTTGGTATCTTTTATATGAAAGTTCGTTGTGAAATGGATCTGAAAGGGAGTTGGAAAGTTAATGATTAATCTAGGTGACCGGAGATGACAAGGAGTCTGTCGGGAGTGGTCGTTGAGCATGACGAGGACAAGAAAGAGAATATAGTCTTAGCTAGTCCCATGGTTATTCGGGGGTCTCGCTAAGACCTCTTAGTGAAGAGTTTTGTCCATGCTAGTCCCCTCTAGTCTCATTAATGTTAGTCCCAGCATGGAACAAACACAGTATTGGACTAATAGTTAGTCCAGTCCAGTCTAATCCAACTTAGTGAGGGCAAACAAACGCCCCCAAAAAGCTTTACTTGCTTGCATGGCATCTTATTTATGCAAAGAAAAAATTGATTGAAACATGAAGTAACAAAAATAGACAAAGCATACTCATATAAAGAACATGTTTACTTCATCAATTCGAGATAATTTTGTGCTCAATGAAACATAAAAGCACAAATACATATTTGTGCTCAATGAAATTGAAAAGGGCACCAATGAATTGTGTGCTTAGACCTTTTTTTTTTGGGGCACTGTATATGCATTCTTGTCTCCTCACTTCTCTTCAAATAAAAGGCGAAGTAGTGCTACTCGTACTTTTCCCCTTTCCTAAATGAACTTACAGAAAGCAAGGGTTCCAAGTCTCTTTATTTTGGTCCAAGCAGAGAGCAACACAATAAGGATATCACCCTAGAAAATGAACAAACCCATATTCTATAATCAACCCCAACGAAGAGAAAATCCAATTGAATATAAGGAAATAAGAAGTTGAACTGATTACTGGAAATAAGAAGAAGTTGAACCCAAATTCCATAATCACTGTTCTTGGATCGATTGTAGATGTCTTCCCATGGTTCTTCTTTGTTTCCTCTAAATACAAAGTAAGAAAATAAAAATCCCTTCTCTGATATAGTGTTCATACTACATATATAGATTTGATCGTAGATTACAGTATTAAGATAAATTAAACATGAAATAAACAATTAAGGACATCTGTAGAGCCTTTAAAACATTACAAAATAGAGCAATTGTAACATTTTTCTTCCAAAATGGAAGAAGAACAAAGTATCATTTGATTGCCAACAAATAAATAAAACATGGAAGAAAAAGAAACTAGAAATATACCCTTCACGTAGCCCCTCAGAGCACCCCAGTTCTTTCACATCGAACATATACAACCACTTCAACATACCTGATGGCTCTACAGGTGAAGAGTGAGAAAGAAAATAGCGTGATTTGAAAAATAAGAAAAACAGAATGGGAAATATGAGAGACATGCTAAGAAAATGGGCATGCCCATAAAATAAAGCATAGATCATCGTTCTACCTGACAACTGCCGTCCCATCAAAACATTGTCCACCAATTGTCTATAAAAAAGTATACATAGCAAATAGAAGCAGATAAAAAACTTTGAGTGCCAAATAAGAGAGTCGATCAACCATCTAAATGAAGTAAAAAAAAAAAAACATGATTAAGACCTCTTTTGCTCCGCTCTTGTAGCCCAAATCTATAAGAAATAGAAAGGAGTCAAACTTTAATGATCATTTTGTTTAAATTAGTTAGAAACAAAATCATGGATAGAAGGAAAAATGAAAAGGATTGAAACTATGTTACTCAAAACTATTTTGTTCCCTCTTCTTCCGCTATTTCTCTTCATTCTTCCATATTTGATTTCCATGTGAAACAAACTTCAAAACTGATTATACAAATAAAAAAGGTTCAAACTTTTAATTTCCTAGAAACCAAAAATGAACATTTCTACTAAATTAATTAAAATTAATTCATGGACATGAAGAAAAAAGAATTAAACGAAGTTACCCAAAAGGAATGAAACCACCAACTCATATATTGAAAACGCATCGATCACTGGGGATTCACCAATTAGCCTATATATTTGATCAAATCTAGAATTAATAATAAAAGGGGAAATTAAAAATAAATCAAACATCAAAGTAACATAGTTAAGAGTGAAGACGATTTAGTTTTTGCAGGAAAGGAAAAAAAAACCAATTGCAACTGCTGATTGCTGTTTCAAATTTGAGCTCCAATTTTTTTTTCAACGTGTTGTAATTATAACCACTCAGTTTAGGAGGATAATTATCTCTTATTTTCAAAATAGGAGGATAATTATCCAACTTTTCATCCCTGTTCGTCTTCAAATGCCCAGCGATCAATTGCATAAAATGTGAACAAAAAATGCAAAGAATCTCAAGTAAGAGAGATGAAGAACCATCACAACCCAGAGGTTACAAATACAGCCGAGCAGATTGGTGGGCGAAAGTATTAACTGGCTATAGAGCGTTCAACCATCTCAGATCCGGATCCGCCACCCAACTCTATTAACAGCCCTTGGATGATCAAAGGGTGTTAACGTGCATCACAAAATTCGAAGCTAGAGGAGCATCGTCGTCAGATAAATAATACAATACATCAAATTAAATATGGGTAAAAAGACAAACAAAAATAAACCGTACCCGACACCAATGGGTTACCAGTTTGAGCAACAATGAAGCTGAAGCCACCAATCTCTGGTGGGATGAAAGCTCAAGAATTTCGACGGTTGAAGAAGGCTTTTTGTAAAGAACTGGTAATTGAGTAACTTTAGTAACTCCTATAAATGTCTCTGGCATTCCAGAATGCCAAAAATTAAGTCAGAAACTGAATAACCAATACACAAAAGAGAGAGCTTTCTACAAATTGGTCCAAAACCCATTAAAAAAATCTGGTAAAGATAAATAATTTCAAATAGTTCAAATGTTAATCAAGTAAAAATCTCCAAATTATTATATATTAAAGTGGGCAGTTAGTTAATAAATCAAAACATCAGTAGATATGAACAATTCAATTAGGCATAGAGTACCTGAATTGAAGGCAGAAAGTGAAAATTTCTAGCGAAAACCCAAAATTCTAGCAAAAATAAGAATATTGTTCGAGAAAATTACCCAATTTACTCTTTTGTATGCACTATGGTGATAGAGAACGTGCGATGGAGGGCGATTCCATCTCCAGTCTATGCAACTGCTGATATGGAGTGCTTCGATTCCATCTGGAGTAGTTGTGGTCGATTATCCTTTTTTTCATCTGAAACAGTAACTCTATGCTTAGTCAAATGGGTGAAAAATAATTTAAACTGTGGGTGATTTGACCCAATGGTCAGAATAGATGTAATTCCATATTTTATGTTTTATACCCTATTTTTATGAGTAGTTATCCATGAGTCTTGTGTTACATCCAATCTTGTTAAGCGAATAGCACGGGAGAGCAATAATGGGTGATCTACTGGAAAGATCTCGTGTGAGTTTTCAAAAACAAAACCGTAAGGGCCCAAAAACAAAACAGTAAAGGCGTGGTCGGGGTCCAAAGCGGATAATATCGTGTTACGATAGAGTTGAGCCTGAAATCTGAAGGGAACCCAGCCCGGGATGTGACACCTTGTGTATGAAATGAGGACATTTTTGACATTTTGAAATGCTTCACTATTGTGTGCTTCTCACTTTATATATGTAGATGATGTGTATTTTTTTGAATTTAAAAAGCCTAAAGAAATTCCGCCCTCCCAAAATAGATATAAGAAAATTAAAAAACATAAATAAATAAACAAAAAAGGCGCATAAAATGACTGTCCTCTTCTTTTAATTAAATGGAGTGGAATCATGAAGCAAATTTCACTGCTAATAATATTAACTTAGTTATAATTGCATCAATATACATATTTAAGAGGTTTTAAATTCAATTCTTATTAAAAATAAATTTGAAAACCACATAGTCTACCCCGTCCGTTAATATAAATAATATCGTCTATTTTTTTTTATCAAACGATATATTTTGTTAGATTAGTTACAGATGATATTCTAAACACATCTATTAATAAAAATAATATCGTTTGTTTTTTTTTTTTTTTTCAAACAATAGATTTTATTAAATTAGTTAGCGACAACGACAAGATTCGAACCCATCCGTCGTATAATGGTTTAACACATTTCCACCTATTGTTATAAAAGACCACTTACAAATAATATTGTTTGTTGAAAGTATCCGGTGTTTTCGAAGTTTCACCTTAATTGAATCCTTTTTTTTCCTTAAAAAAAAAAAAACATGCGACAGCGTGGTGTCAGGTAACAAGGATATGCCGCGTCCTACCAAGAATCTCCCCAACATAGGACACTGGTACTGAAACTCAAGTGGTATAACTACAACTTGTAACTTATAATATTCTCAGCCACCAGCCTCTCTCTCTCTCTCAACCTTGAATATTCTAAGCCATCAGCCACCCCCTCTCTCTCCTCTCTCTCCCTCCCCGCACCGCCGCCGTCTTCGACTCCTCACATTTCCATATCCAATAAAAAAGAGCAACATGTTGACATCAAACCTGCCAAAGAGCCCCTTCTTCCCCACCCGCTATGTCCCAGTCTCCCCCTCCTTCCACATCACCTGCAGCGTCTCGCAGCTGCAATCGGCGGCGGAAGCAGTGAACGGCAGAGTTTCCGAACGGAACGAGATTCGCCTCGGCTTGCCCAGCAAAGGCCGTATGGCTGCCGACACTCTTGATCTCCTCAAGGACTGCCAGCTGTCCGTCAAGCACGTCAATCCTCGTCAATACGTCGCCCAAATCCCTCAGGTTCCTGAATTTCACCAAATATCCTTCAAATTTACCTTTTTTTTTGTTTGTGGTAAAAGTTAATTAGATTTTCCATGAATTTTACCGCGTGCAGCTTTCGGGCTTGGAGGTGTGGTTTCAACGGCCGAAGGACATTGTGCGGAAATTGTTGTCCGGTGACTTGGACCTTGGCATTGCGGGTTTTGATACTGTCAGTGAATACGGAGAGGTAGATATATCTCAATCTGTTAATCCAATTTTATTAGTTTTAGGGTTTTCAATTGTTTACGTCATTGGGTTTTCCTTTGTTTTCATTTTTGTTGAATTTCGTTACAAGTTTTCGTAGCTTGCTATGAATATGGACTGATAATACGTCACGAAATTGGAGTGATTCGTGTATGTTCTGAAATTAACTGCAGTCGCTGCATCTCTTGAATAAATCTGCTTGCTATCTAAAATGATTCTGAAGAAATACACTGTTGTTTAAAAAGCTTATCATTTGGGTTGAAAGCGAATCGTTTAAAATACAGTAGGGTTTCCCTGTTTTAATTCGTTCAGGGAAGACCCAGGACTGTGGTTGATAAACCAGGAAATAAGTTAGAACCAGAAACAGCTGAACATATGCACGCACTAGTGCGGACTAACAGCTCATAAAGCATTATGTTATATGTGTTTTCATCACTTCTAATACATATGGATGCTCTAGTATAGTTCGTTGTCAGTAAACGGTTACATTAATTTTGGAGAGCTCCATTATATTTTAGAATTGAGTGTTCTCTGAATTTGAAACTAGGGCCATCTCCTAGTATCTCTGGACTTTTAGTTTTTGAATTGTGAGTCGTGACCTGTTCAACTGGGAATGGAGGTCTTTTTCTTGCGTGGAACTCTTTCATTTCATACATTGTGTCAAGAAAATTGCTTGCAGTAATGTTGGCCTTCTACTTAAGAATGTTTTAGTATTTATTATTTTTGTTATCCAAAATGAATATGGACTACTGCATTGATATTTAACGTTTATCACTGATATGACTCGTTCAAAGAGAACAGAAAGCTGATCATCCAAAGTTGTCTTTTAGGGGAATGAAGATCTTATCATTGTTCATGATGCTCTTGATTATGGGGACTGCCGTTTATCCCTTGCAGTGAGTTGCTTTTTCATTTCCCAAATTGAAGACTCCAATTATTCCACTTGTATCTTGAATACCTTCAAGGTTTCAAATATCCTTTGTTTTTTCAGATTCCGAAATACGGGATTTTTGAAAATATAAATTCACTGACGGAGCTAGCACAAATGCCTCAATGGACTAAAGAGAAACCTCTCCGAGTTGCTACTGGCTTCACCTATGTATGCCTTGTATTTATGATTTTGGTTCTTGTATTATTCTTCACTTTCTACGCTGGGAACAAGTTTCTTTTGCTGTCTCTTTGTAAATAAGGGTTTTGTTTGCATTTTTCATTTTCGTCTTCTATTGCAGCTTGGTCCTAAATTTATGAAAGATAATGGATTGAACCATGTGAGTTTTTCAACTGCTGATGGAGCACTCGAGGCAGCTCCTGCGGTAAGAATGTACTTTGTCAGAGTAACTGTAAAATTTGGTGGGATGTTTTTAATTTATGCGGAGCATTGTCCTATAATGTGGTTGCGTTGCTCCAAGTGTAGTATAAAGCATGACACATATTTGCCAGCATATATATATATATATATACAATTTAATGTTTCATGATTCCTTTCGATGAAAAACATAGGTTATTGATTTATTATCTACTTACCAATATCTAAACATAAGCTGTCTCATTGAACATTATACTAGTCCAGACTTCTGTTGGATTCTAGTTGCTGCAGTTACGAATCTTAAGATGACAATATTGCTTGAATGGACTGAATCCTTGCTTAAGTTTAAGATGTACATTCAGTGACTTTGTGGTTAGGTGGTTGACTCAAACGAGATGGTCAACCTTTTGTACTGATATGGACAGTGGAAAATGCTTGCGAAGAATAATGAAAATAGGGATTTAGGGTTTATGGAGGAGCTCTTGACCAACTTTATGTTTTTTTGTGTAATGATTCTCTTCCCTTTATTCCATGACGTCTACACCTTTATATGGTGTCATATTAGTCCAATCAAATGCCATTTAACTACAAAATAGGATAATAGTAACCCACTACAACTCTACTAATTAGGTCATATTTTAACAACTAGAAAATAATGTTCGTTTAGAAAAAACACGTAACATGTCAATGACTTGATGTGGTGTTGTTGGCCTTGAAATCTGACGCTGGGGAGAAGATAATTAAATACTGCTTGTCTCTCTTTTAACTTTAGATGGGGATAGCTGATGCAATTTTGGACCTCGTGAGTAGTGGGACGACGCTGAAGGAAAACAACCTAAAAGAGATTGATGGAGGAGTTGTGTTACAAAGCCAGGTAGGCTTCTTGGTTTATGGCTTATATTACCGAGCATGTGATCTTGTAGGTTTAAGCATGCATCTAGAAGGAGCTGGTCCAAAACCCTGCTCCTTCTATATCTTCTCGTATGGTTGTAATTAGAATTTCTTTAGGCAGTTCTTGTTGCAAGCAAGAAGTCATTGATCCAAAGGAAAAGCGCCCTTGACACGACACATGAGATTCTTGAAAGATTAGAGGCACATCTAAGGGCTCAGGGTCAGTTCATGGTGCGTATTGAATGTCTTTAAAAAATAAAAATCCAGTTTTGTCCCTTCAGTTCTTGTTTTCTTACACATTTATGGCAGGTAACTGCAAATATGAGAGGAAATAGTGCAGAGGAAGTGGCTGAGCGAGTCTTGAGCCAGCCGTCATTATCTGGTTTGCAGGTGAGGTTTGAAATGAAGCATCACTCCATCTAACCATGAACCACAAGTTGCAGTATACCATAATAAGTGGTCTTTTATCATTATAATATATAAACCGATCCCTTTTATTTTATTTTTCTGATGAGTTAATATACATGGTTACACATGCAGGGACCTACCATAAGTCCAGTTTTTTGCAAACGTGGTGGGCAAATTGCAGCCGATTACTATGCCATAGTCATATGTGTACCAAAAAAGGCACTATACAATTCCGTTCAACAACTGAGAGCGGTGAGGCATGATATTTATTATAAAACTATTGGTCAATGTTATGTAAAATGAATCCTCCTTATCAAATGCTATGAGAGTGCTTGCTCTGTTGAGCAGCACCCTCAACATACATGCAACTACTGAATTCTTCTGGCTTCTATGTCTGCGTGTGCAAGACTAAAAACACAAATAAATAAGTCAGGATGGCAGTTTGACTATTCAGTCGAAGGTTTAGTTTCATCATTTTATTTTAAAAATTAGGGACTACGAACATATGTTGAATTGGCTAGAAACTTTTCAGGTCTGTTTATTTCCTACACAACTTGTTCAGCTTTTTAAATTTATAAGCAGCCAACTCTTCTCTTTAATTGTCCAGATCTACTCTCTGGTATGGTTTTACAAACGATAGTTGAAATTTGGTTAGTACTTAGAGCTAACAGAAGACTTGGTGCAACACCTAGCGCAACGGCGTTTTGGATTCATATAGCCGACCCGACTTAGCAGGATAAGGCTTTGTTGTTGTTGAAATTTGGTTCGAAGCTGTTTTTACTTTTCAGTTAGTCATTTTTTAATATGCTGGAATAATGGTTCTAAATTAGAAATGGTTGTGAATATTGGGTTCGAAGTTTCTCTGCCTACCTATTAGCTGCATATATCATTGTGCCTGCCTCTTGTGCGCAAGGCATATTTTCTTGTTCTAAAATTTTGAATCTGATTCCATGTTTGACTGAAGGATTTTCCTTCCCTTGGATACTGGGGTTTAATCTCCGTGCTCTAATTTGTTCAGGTTGGAGGTAGCGGAGTTCTAGTTTCCCCATTGACCTACATTTTTGATGAAGAAACACCAAGATGGCATGAACTTCTCACAAAGCTTGGCCTCTAGTTCTCTCAGGCCGATGATGTGCACGGTTTGTTGTAATTTTTTGTAGCTATGGCAGTATTTAAGAGTTTGATGAGCAAACACGTATTGATACCTATCTTTGGATTGACAACTTGGCTTGTAATCAGAGTAGTGACTTAAAGATATTTGCGTTTTGTATGCGATTTTTTTCTTATCCTCTATTTCCCTATTTTGGTTAGTCCGACGACAACTCTCAATTTTTTTAGGGGTGTGCTTTTCACACATCCCCTTTTACTTCTCCCACATCCCTTGTTAATTTCTGTCCTTTGATCTTCTTCAATTCATCCGATCCGACGGTCGAAAATTAAAAGGGTGTGAGAGAAGTAAAAAGGGGTGTGTGGATATCACACCCATTTTTTTTACCATTTTTCAGGACCATTATGTGTAATATTCGTGGATTTTGAACATCTGTATGCATTTGTCTTTCAGAATTATCCAACCATGATTAAATTTTTGAAGCCGATTTTAAGTACATTGTAATTTTGTTATAGAGCACCTACTATGATGAAGCCATTGTTTCTAGCAACTCTATGAAACATTAGGGCTGTGTTTTGTACACCTCCTTGGAAGGGCTAAGGAATTATTGTCTTAAATAACACTCGTAACCCGTGTTTGCTATCAAGTGGTTCGAAATTGCTTCGCTATGCAACGACGTGCTCCGCCACCTCGCTAACAAGAAACTTGCACCAGTGGTTTTCAAATTGAATGAATGTTTTCGAAGATGAACTTCATATGATGATAAAGAGGGCGAATAATTTCAACTTTAAACGAACTTATTGAGAAAGTTACCGCACAAAGCTTCTTAGGCAACTCGAACCACTATTATCCTAAAAACCAACTCAAACAAGCACCTGAGGGGAGCGAGTCCAACCAAATACAAAACTTGGAAGAATTTTGACCTATCTAGGAGAGAGTAATTGCCACAAAATTGCGTCATGGAAGACATGCCGAAAAACAATATCTTGAACTTGACAAGCCAATTTTTGGATATTAACCATCATGGTTTTCAGTTTTCTAGGGAGCCAAAATGCTTCCATTAACAGCACCAATAAGCAACTTGGAACCCTTCCACAATCAAACGTGAAAACACCTGGCTTTAGGTAATGCAACTTACAGTCTATCCTCAAGAGCCTGGCCTTCAACAATAATATAAAACAACCTATTTTTTGGCTCCTCACATCATAAATTTGAACTTTCTTGCAGTGCTACCTATTTACTATAAGTCAAGTTCTATTAAACGACGAATATGATACTAATTGCTTGACAAGTATCAATTAAACGAATGACAGCATTGAAACTATGTCTCGAAAGTAAAAGAAAACCTCTTCCGCAAGTGAGACAAGCAAGAAAACAATTACCCCTAGTTGTACAAAAACTCACATTCATGACTCGGAATTATTACCCAACCCTGATTATTCGGGTCATGTGCCCATATTAGCCCTTGAGAACTATGGGATCCCTCCATATTAACAAGTAAGCCATAATGTAAACCCATTTTCCCCCACTTCACTGTTCGCCACCACTAGTCCTCTGCTTCTCCCGCCCTCCGCCAAGTTGAACTACGGCGTCGTTCGCCGAGTCGCCACCGCCATCTTAAGGACCCGGTACACCTCGTCGGGTTTCTGGGCCGCCTGAGTTGCCCACTCATTTTTACTGATTTGAAGATTTTTCCCGAAATAGGGTTTTAGGTTTTAGGGTTTTGGGGGTTATTAGTACCAGAAGATGGGAAGCAGGTCGTCATTGGCAGGCATGGAGGTCCCAATCATCGGCAGCGATTCATTGAAATGGATTGAGATCTCTGCTCCTCCTTCTGACGCCTCCGCTGATGCTGATATTCCTGCTGCTAGCTACTAGTGTCCCTCCTCTTACAGACGATATCGCCTCTTCGGTCGCCATTGGAGACCCTCCTGTACATCTCATATGGTATTCTCTGTCTCTCCCCCTCTCTTTCTCTACCTATTTCGAGTTTGTGCATTTTCCTTTATACATTATTCATTTGTTATGCCTCTCGTAACAGGAGAATTCACAAGGACCATCCTCACGAACTCGAGTTATTCGAGCTCAGTGCTTCCAAAGACTTCCCCAAAGTCGGACTTCGAATCACTTTTCCAGAAGCGCTATCTCCCTTGGTTCGTGTTTGTAAAAGTGAGGTAAGAATTTAGTTTCTTACAGTCTACTTACTGTAGTGTTTCTCTGTGAAAATGAGTCATACATTGTTATGTGTGTTGCAGGTTGATATGGATTTTACTAGCCACCCCTACTTGGTTTATGCATTGACTGTCTCGGGGATGGCTTACCTTTTCAAACTTGGACCCATCTCTACTTATGTATCCCGCTATGTTTTCCGGGAGGACGAGGTTGCCAAGTTTAATATGAACGCCTATGTACCAGTAACAAGTGCTGCAGGAACACCATCTGGGTGCCTTGTCGTTGGGAGGGATGATGGATCCATAGCTTGTTTCCAACTGGGCACACTTGATGCCACTGCTCCTGGTATTATCAAATTCCTCATGCTGTCTGGTTCTTGTGTTGTGTGCCCTTGTAACCATTCAATTGCTTTAAGCATGCTTTCCTTCAGCTTCATCAATCTAGTGGTTTGGACTTGGTGTTAAGCATGCTGCTCTATTGCACCCTATAATTCTAAATTTTTTCTCCCTTTCCCATAGGTTTTGCGCTGGAGCTGCGGGATGAATTGGGAATTGGTCGTTTGTGGGGTTTCATGTCAAGGTATGCTTGTTAATTATACTACCAGAAAAACTTACAAGTAAAAACATTTAGTTTGCATACATATTTGTCTTATTGTTACTTGTTATTATTTAATAAGTTGTTTTAAGTAATTATTGAAGTTATGCTTGTGGATGATCGTTCTGGTCTATGCGAATTGAATCTTAACTTGTTGCCAAAGATGATTAAATTGAATTTCAAATGTTTTGGCTTGGTTGGTGTTGGTACATGGGAGGGTCAACACTTGCGATTACTCCAAAAACGTAGGTTGAGATCGTATTTATGTCCACACCGGTATCCTTTTAATTGGAGGCTGTGGTGATCTTTGATTTAATGTGATTAATGTTTGTTGGGTGGCGCCAGAGGAGTACTTTGCTTTGTTGAGCGAGAATTTTTTTTTTGAGAAGTTATTGAGTAAGAAGTTTAGAGTACCAGGTGGACTAAATTATTATGGGGCTGTCTGGTGCTGGGTATTGTTTGGGCTATATGGTCAGAAAGAAATCAGCAAATTTTTGAAGATGTTAGGGGTTGGAAGTGGAAGAGGTATTAGAAAAGGTCAAGCATTAGGCAACACGTTGGGCTTCTGTATCTTCTAATTTCAGGTTTATATCTTTATCGACCATTATACTAGACTGGAAGGCTGCAGTGTCCGAATTATTCTAGGTTTTTCTCACAGCCGTAACTTTCTGTATTAGTGTTATTTTTCTTCCTGCTCCTGGTGGATTTCTTGTTCACTTTACTGTGCAGCTTTCCTTTTGAAATTAATTTTCTGTTTTTCAAAAAATTGAGTTTTAAATGTTACTGAATGGTTCTAAGCGTAGCATATAGCCTATTTATTTGACATTTATAATGCTTTGTTTGATTAAAACAATATACAAGTATACATGGCTCTGAACTCATTTGCTTCATATGCTGTAAACAAGTTTATACTTCATTCTGTGACTGATGTTGGAGGCATATTTTAGAGATCAAGGTTCTAATATTGTCGGGTGAGAAGAGCTAGGAATCATTTGGTCAGATTAAACAATAAAATGTGAAATGAAATGAAATTGCTTACATATTACCTTGGGGATAAAATGAAATGGGAGCTTTGTCAAATCAGACATCCACATGGCCAGAATCAAAGCTTCCACTTATATATACATAATATTACGATATATTAGCCCCTGGATCTTTTGCACGGTCTTTTGTAACTTAAGTATCCTTCTAATTGTATCATGCCACTAAGCTTTTGTTTGACTTCAAAGCTGGATGCCAAAGGCTGCAGATTATGCAGGTTATTTTCTTTATTTATTTTCATTTCTAATTCTTATACCGACAATTCCCAATCCCAAGTAGCATTTGAGTATTCATTGTGTGGTTATCCCGTGAATTTACCATTGTTGAATGCCAAAATGCGATCATTTTTCTTTTTATTGGTTTATTACTGTTTTTATGTTTGGAATCCTGTAGGTTAAATGAAATAGAAAAGATAATACTATGAGTTAACTTGGTCTGCTCCTCTTTGAATTGGAAGTAGGATCTTTTGTTACAATCTGTGAAATGCTAGTTGTGTTGTTTATTGTAGCATATTCTGATAAATGACTAAAATATTTACTCAAAAACACGAGTAACACTTTAGTGTTCTTTCTTGAACTATAGAGTTTTATGTTGCTATATATATATAATTACTCTTCTATCCCCTGGAAATGTGATTGAGTACATATAGCTGAACATATAATGCAGGGGAAGGATGATAGCAGCTGTGCAAGACTTGGCGATATGTTTCGTTCATGAAAAGCCACTTGTATTTGTGCTTCATTCTGATGGGATGTTACGGGTATGGGATCTTTCATGTCATAGCAGGATCTTTAGTAATAACATGAACAGTTCGACACTGGCAGGCAAGTATTGATTTTCCCCATTCATTTTGTGATTGTTAATACCTACTTGTTTATGTTGTCCATCTACTTTCCATTTGTATATAGGTGCTCTTTTTTTGGGGATAGAAATGCAAAATTTATTAACAGGGAATATTTCTGCTAAATCTAGCATTGCTTGGCATAGATGGAACATTTTTTTGATGAGAATGTTGTTGTTTTATGTATGCACATTATTTATTAGAAGATATACAATAATGTCTCTTTTTTCAAAAGAATTGGTGTATATATGGAAACATAGTTTCTTGTATAACTTTTTGTTCTCTGATTTAGTAGAACATATAATTGTTTCTCCTTAACAAAGAATCTACTTCCAGGAGCTACATTGGAAAGGTTATGGATTGGTCATGTTGACAGTGGTTCAAACATTATTCCTTTGGCAATCTTCTACAGGCAGACTTCGGTATGTAATGCAAAATAAGTGCTATGAATCTGAATTTCTATTGATGGTGAAATTCCATTGTGATATGTCCTCCATTACTGTACTATGTCGTCTTTTTGTACTTACAAATATTTCTATTTATTTTTGCTACTTAAACTGTTTTCTACGTCAGTCCTAGTTAAGGGTAAATTTGTGAAATAAATTATGAACAGGGTAATCTGTTATGTGATTTGAACTTCGAAGTAAAATGTTGGGTTTGAGGAAATGTTTCCCTTTCTCCTCCTTTCTATGCTTATAGGGGGTTTTTTCCCCAAAAAATATAAGAAAGATTTAGGGAAATTGACACTAACTGCAGTTTTAGAAATCTCTATAGTGATACTCTAGATAGGAATAACCTCCATCTAGTCATAAAAAAGTTTCAATCCCAAGACTTGGGCCAGTTATATATGGTATAAGTTCCATGTTATAACAAGTTATAATTTTTCAAAGTCCCGTCTAAAGGAATTTGCCTCCACATAGTATTAATTGCCAATAAGTAAAAAAATTGGAATGTGACAATAAAAATTTCAAATGAAGTAAAATATTTCTCTAATGTTGTATGGGACAATGATTTATTCTTTAGAGTTGATGCCTCGTCTCCGAGCTTTGCGGGCATCAACTGAATTAGTTGAAGATGTAAACATGCTTGGGAAGCTAGAGACAAAGCTAGAGACATTTTGGCTTCAGCACCAAGTCATTGCATAGGATGTACTGTATGTGTTTAACTATCTATAAAACTTACTTAGATGTGTGTTTAACTGTCTATAAAATTTACTTAGAAAGAGAAGCATTATAGAGAATACTAGAACATGTATGCACCAAGGTATTTGAGACTCTTTTCCCAATGTCTTCATCTTGGAAATTGACACGCTCCACTACTAATGTCATACTTTGTATCCATAGTCCATACAACTTTCATTAAGGATAACTAAGTGAAAAATTAAATTATGTAACTACTAGGGCTGGAAAAAATTCCCGAAAATCCCAAACCAAATAAAAAAAATTCCAATGCCAAATAAAAAAAGTGCCAAACCAAAATTCCCAAAGTTTTTGGGATGACATACTGAACCGATCCCGAAATTTTGGTACGAGAATTGGTATTGTCTCCTCGATGTTTCGGTAATCCCATACTGATTTGAAAATAAATATTATATATATTATTATACATTTATATTTATATGTGTGTGTGTATATATATTATACATTTGAATTGTTGCGAACTACTTGTAGCAATATAATTGGTGTGGTCTACAGGTAGTAACCATAGCCCTTTATCGCCAACCTCCCACAAAATGTGTCTATTTCTTCAACACAAAATCAAAAAATTGTATTATTAGTTTCTGAACATATTAGGTTTGTAACTTATTTTTTTGCTTTTGGGTTTGTTACTTATTTTGTTTTGGTTACATGTTAATGTGACTTGGTATGAATGCTTGGTTTTCAATTTGTATGAAATTTGGGAATACCGAACCACCCCGAAATACCAAAAATATTTTGGGAATCCCGAAAATTGGGACTACCGAAATTTTGGTTCGGGATTGGTCTTCAAATTTCCGTCCCAAAAATTTTTGGTTTGGGATTTGGGATCCTATTTTCGGTTTGGGATCCCATACCGAATCACCCCTAGTAACTACACCTCTATTGAGTAACAACCTCATTGTAATATTATTGGTTTGGTCCCAACATTTTGACCATATAGAGGTTTTACTGTATAAGTTAGTAATATTTTCTGTAGCATGACTGGAGGAATCTTCTATATTCAATTAGTGACACAATCCAGAGATTATGTTTATATTGTTTGCTGATATTCTGATTGATTCTTTGGGCCAATCATGAAGGAAATCAGCTCGGAGACGATCTGTGCATATAGCTTTCGTTGTCATTTTGAGGAAAGATTCGTTATAATGCTGGAACCTTCAGCACAAAATATCCAATTGGACGAGGTAAATAATTCTTTTCTTTTCTTTGTTTTGGTCAATTCCACTTCCATACTTTCTTTTGGCTGAAGTTATATTCATTGCACCATATGTGCAATTAATTTGATTTTTTCTTAGGCTGGATGGGTTGATGTCAAACTTACTTCTGACAAGATATGCATACTGACAAATAATGGATTACTGCTTCACAAGTTGTTGACGAATGTCAATACGTAAGTGAATTTGTCCCTGTTAATCTTTAGTGACTCTGTATCAGTCCTTTTCTTACCTAGGGTGGCATTGTATTTCTTTTCCTTTTCATTGGTCTCTCTTGAATGCTTCCCTGTGTGCTAGGGGCCTAGGGCACACCTTTGTATTGTTTGTACATAAATTGTTAGTAGGGAGGAAAAAATGAACTAGGAAGATATTATTTGGCAAATGAGAGAAATCTATTATGAGAGCTGCAATAAACTTAAGTACATTAACTAGTCTGAATTCTTCAACTTAGGGCATCATGATGGTGGCACTTCATGCAAGTGTGAATTGTATGTATATACCTTCTAATATTATATAACCAGTTCTGACTTCTGTTTATGAAATTGGCTTGGTCAGCTGATGCCTTTCTTCATGTACACACTCTGTTTTTCTTTTCAAGACATGATTGTTTGAGCTTTTGCTTTTATTTATTTTTAATGTATACTTTTGTAGGTGAAAGCATGTAGGAATCTGCAGTCCAAACCCATATCTTTTTTTTTTGGTCAACTGTAAATGCTTGTCTTTTCAATGTATGATTGACTTAACCTTAAATCTCCAGGGAAGATGCATGTTCTTACGCTTTGCAGGAGGACTTTGTTGCAGATCAGTTGTTTCAAAGTTCTGACCATTCTTCAGATGACCTTCTTTTGCTGGCGCATTCAATATTGTCATCTTCAAAGGTAGATGTTTGTATCAGTTAAATTTTATTGTTAATAGACAAGGCTTCCCCCCTTCCTATCTCTTCCCAGGATTGTCAGGTTTACTGTCTTACAGCTTGATATTACTAAGAGCTGGAAAATCTTCTCTCAGTGTATAAAATGTAATCAGAAACGTCGTCACAATTTTATTGTGATGAACTCACATGCCACCAGCATGTGCATTTATATATGGATGCCTTTACTTAATAGGTTGTCTCTGTTGTGGACGAAGCTGTGGAGTTGGTGCAGACCGGCAGTAGTAACCACACAGGATTAGAAGAACTGCTCGGATTGAATATCCCTCTTTTTTCTTCTTTTAATCCCAACCAGTGTTTTCATTCTCTTGAGTATTGATGTGCTAAATCTCTCTGTTAGATTTTACGTGTCAAGATTAGTGAGTTATCTTAGAGAGAGATTGAACCTTGAATAAGCTAGCAGATAAAAATGAACTCGGCTGAACGTTTCTATCAAGCTAACAGATTGTGGGTTCACTGGGTCAGGAATGGAAAACATTGGCTGAGATTTGAATTCAATTCCATTGGTTCTAATCATGAGTTAGTAAAGCAGCTCCACAACCTAACACTCTGCAAAAAAAAAAAAAAGCTGCTGTCTACAAACTGTTGAGTAAATATGTATGAGAGCTTCTAATGTAGACATCTGCTTTCAAAGATAGAAGTAAAGAACCAATTGCAGGGCCCGCCAGACAATGTGGTACATTGCCCTGAATGGTCTGAATCAAGCAGAGTCAAATTGTCTAAAACATTTGATATCTTCATCATTTCAGTATTTATGGTAAAAACTGTCATCTATTTATTTTATCACTGTTAGATGACTAAATGGCATAAAATAAAATTGGGTTAAAAAACAAATGGACATTCTCTTTTGAAGATTTGGTTGAGTGGGTGCTGGATTTGGTCTTGAAGCCTTCAGTTTGTTTTATTTACTTAATGTGTTTGCGCGTGTCGAAAAGATCCTTGGATGGGACCTATACATTACACGTTTTGGATCATTGAACTACAATATGAGATTAGCTATATTTCTTAAGAGGATGTCTACTCTCCTTGGGTATGTACTGGCAGATCTTAATTAGCCCAAAGAATTTTTGAAGATGTGGATAAGATATAATAGTTGGGATGAAGGTTTAACCCAGTGTATGATTTGACTTCAAACATTTATACAAAATATTTTTAAACGAATTTATTTTTATTTTTATGTAAGATGCTAATTGTTGCCATGCTGGAAGCTATTTTATGTTAAATATGCTGCTTATGTGTTTTTCTTGGTGCAACTTCTGCAGGAGCATATTGTACCAGTTGTATCTTCGATTTACTTACGCAGGCTGCTTCTTCCTGGGGTTCATCATAACATTGCTTTGCGCTTAACCTTACTGGATTATAATAGGCACTGGAGTGATTCAGATTTCCAGTCTCTAACAGCCGATATGTTGAAGAAGGAAATTCTTTCCCTGATTGAAAATGAGGTATGCCCTGTAGTTTTAATTATTTTTCTCTCACAGACACATACCCATGTGACACCCCGGAGATGCTATTAAACTGATGAACATTGTATATTGTATGTTGTCTAGGGAGTGAATGACAATTCAACATCAATAGTTTGCTGCTGGAAAAATTTCTGTTCTCGCTATTTCCAAAACTGGTGCAAGAGCAATGCACCATATGGTTTGCTTCTTGATTCCTACAGAGGAACTTTTGGTTTGATCAGAACGAACTCAGTATCTCTTTTTCGTTGTTCGGAGGATATTGAGCGGCTTATTGCTGGTATGTCAGCTATTCTAGCTTTATTTGAATAGAGATAGATCCTAAGTTTTCGTTTCTGCTTTCAGACATAATATTTTTTGTTTTACTTGTATAGGTACTTCTGATGATCTTGTCGATCTTGCTGGATTTGAGTTGGATTCATTTGATGATGCTCTTGACTATGAGGTGCTCATTGAAATGCTCAGATGTGTTGTTAATGTCAGCCAACAATTGGGAAAGACAGCTTCTGCTATATTTTATGAATCATTTGTTAGCGCACCGCGAGTTATCTCAGCTGAGGAAATTACTCCTCGCCTGTTGAAGATTTTAGAATCTGGATATAGTTCAACGGTAGCAATGCTTCATATATCAGATCTTGGACCCGATTTTGCATGGGAGAAAACCTTGGCAGATCATAAAAACTTGAGGAAATTTTCTATTGACATGCTGTTGTCTCTTCACGCCTTGTACGAGAAATCTGGCACATGGAGTCGTATTTTAAATGTGATTGAGAAGTATCTAAAATTCCTCATACCTCGGAAAATGATGCCAAAATTTGATGCTGAAATGTCCTTGGATATCAATGCTTCCATCTTGGTCCAGGCTACTTCTCAAGTTGCAAAGGTTATGTTTGAGTCTGCCCTCGACATTCTTCTGTTTCTAAGCTATCTAGTGAGCATTAGTGCGCAGGTCAGTTTCTTTTCATTTTATTTATTTTACTTTGTTTTTGTTTTTCAATTCTGTTTAGCAAGACCTACTACATGTAAAGATATATTTTTTTTATATTTTTTATAATTCTTTTATTAAGAAACAAGTATTTTCGTTATTTATTTGTATGTTTATGTTGGTGTTCCCTGTTTGCATGTCGCATGGTTGTATGCTTTATTGTGATTGTTTTTAAAGCCAGATTTTATTGCATTGCAAAAGTAATATCACATAGCACTAGCAGTAGCAAAGAAGTCTAGTTTTATAGATTCATCAAGAAAGCTTAAGACAACCAGACAACAAAAAAAGAACAGAGGGTCGAGCAAACCAAACCGTTACTTATTAGAGGTAAGCAGATATGTTGCTAGACTGCGAATCTGGACCATTGACTAGGCTGATTCTCACTGGCCAACACACTCGAAAGAGAGAATTACCCCAACTTTACATATTTAATCCTGAAAAACGTTAGTATAAGTCCTCAGCTTGTTTCTTTGCAAAAGAACCCCAAAACTAATTTGTCATCAAAATAAATGTTTAATTCTTGCCATTAACTCATGTTTTATACAAAATCAAGTCCAAAATATATGAGGGAGTTGCTTGTTTCCTAATTCAAGACACGCCAAGCTGGCTCTATACTGTTGAGTGGATTCCACTGCTATGTAATCTTAAATGCATGTAATCAGATTTTTGTTTCTTCTGCAGGAAAATAAGGGTGAGTATTTGATTTCTTTCTTGAAGCATAAAAAAAGTACAGGACTTTATATTAATATGATACAAATACAATACGCAACTCAACTAAATTACCCATTGTCTTCATTAAAGAAACAACGACTAAATATAAAAATTGGAATTGGATTCATTTTTCTCTCTCTTAGAAACCCTTCACGAGATCTTTCTGCGATCAAGCTATACTAAAAAATTGTGCATGCATACTTTACATTGCATCTTTAATTTATTCACGACCTTGATCATTAAGTCTACTGCAGTGCTCACTTTGTCAAGTTAAGCAGTATATTTACTTTAATAGCATTTCGTTTTTAGTCTCTCATTTTTTACAACTCCTTATTCCATGGTAAGGGTATCATTTTCCTGTAAAATTTGATCAATTGACGTGTTAAAATTTCTTTGGGTTTTGCATGCAGATTCATATGCTTCATGATGATGTATCCAAAATTCAATTTGACTTGATTCCAATGATTCAAGAAATCATTTTTGAGTGGCTTCTTATCCATTTCTTTGCCACCACACCGTCTGAATCAGCTGCAATTGAGGATTTCAGCTCTCAGCTTTCATTGTTACAAATTGGTAGGGTCATGCTTCTTAATGTGTCCTTAATTTTCTAATTTTGCTGATTTAGTATTGTTCTGATGATCATCCCTGTCCATGGTTCAGATAGCAACATGAGAAGAAGAACATGGAATGAGAAGCTTGGGAAGTGTGAGTTCACTCTGGCTTTTGTATTCTTACCAAGTATTCAAACTTCCTCCAGAGACCAGAGTCGTGATTCCTCGAGAGACATACCAGATGTGAATGACATTATTATTTCAATGCGGGACTTTGCTAGCTGGATCATCTGGGGCCACACAGGGGAATCCTTTACCTTCCTCAGCCGTGCAACAGATCTTGCTTTGATCCTGCTAAGGCATGGGCAATACGATGCCGTCGAGGTTATTGCTCTACTTAGAGTTTCCCACTAGCTATTTAACTTTTCTTCTTTGAGAATACTTTTGTTTAACCATGTACTTGACATCATTGTTTTTTTTTTATTTTTCTGTAATCTTTAAAGTGCCTACTCACAATTGTGGAGGCACATTTACAAAAGGAGAAGACATCTCATAGTATCCAGGATACAGAGGGAGGATGGTGCATACTTCATCATCTTTTAGGGTGCTGCTTCCTTGCTCAGGCACACCGTGGGTTGCATGGATTGCCGAAAGAGAGGAAAGTCACTGAAGCTGTTCGTTGTTTCTTCAGGTATTCTATGTTTTATAAATTTTTGACTGTCACCTTCCGTGTACAGGTAACTCTAGAAGGGTATTCTATGTGCATTCTTTTGGATAATGTTTTCATTTGCACTTAAAACTAGCTCATTGATTTTCTTAATAAAGACTTATAGTTTAATTTTTCTATACAGAGCTTCATCTGGAAAAGGGTCATCCGAGGCTTTACAGGGTTTGCCTCAGGAAGCGGGGTTGCCAAACCTTGGTTTCAGTGAGTTTACTAAACTTTTATATATTAAATAGTTAATTATTCTTTTGTTTTGCCCTTTTTATTAACTCTTTCATTTACCTTTCTCTTTAGCTGGTAGCTTATCAGCTTCAGCATGGAGACTTCATTACTATCAGTGGGCTATGCAGATATTTGAGCAATATAATATTAGCGAAGGTGCTTGTCAGTTTGCTCTCGCCGCGCTTGAGCAAGTTGAGGAAGCTTTTAGCGTAGAAGATGAGCTGCATGGACAAGACCTAGCCAATGAATCAGTAGATACTATCAAAGGACGACTTTGGGCAAATGTCTTCAAGTTTACTTTAGATCTTAATCTCTATTATGATGCATATTGTTCAATAATTTCAAACCCAGATGAGGAGAGCAAGTACATCTGCTTGAGGCGTCTGATAATTGTTCTTTATGACCGTGGTGCCATAAAGGTTTTTATTCGAACTTCTAACTAACTTTTGTTTACTTGTGACTTTCTTTTCCAGTTTTTGTTTTTACTAATTTGCAATATATTACCCATACAGAAATTCTCTGTGCAGGATGTTCGTTCTTGAATATAGAACGGGCGCATCATTAATATTGTCGATAATGGTTCAATACTATGTCAATCTGTTCTGATGGCTACAATGATTTCTACTCATTCTGTGCTTTGTCATATTTTTTTTTTTTCAGCAAAATATTTGAATATTTTGTTTCTGTGTGGTATGGAACTTGTTTTTCAAATTTTCAGTGCGAGCTTGTACCAGTTAGGCTTATTCTCTGATGAGATCTTTCTTATTACTAAACTCTCCTGCGTTGTCATTTGTTGCAGATTCTTTGTGGTGGTCAGCTACCATTTATTGGTCTTACAGAAAAGGTAGAGCACGAGCTTGCCAGGAAGGTATTGTCAAATCTAGAGCCAATTTGGTACTGTATTTCGAATTATTAATGTCGGTTCTTGCATTTTTTATGTCCTGGTGACTTTTTTGCTATCTTCAATATGCAGGCAGATTGTTCAGATATTTTAGCAAAGCCAAACTTATACAAGTTGCTTTATGCATTTGAAATGCATCGACATAACTGGAGAAAAGCAGCAAGCTACATGTACCTATATTCTGCTCGTTTGAGAACGGAAACAGCTCTGAAAGATTACCAGCACACAGTCATTGGCACTAAAGGAAATTCTGAATGGGCTCTCTTCTGCTATCAATGCACTTCATCTTGTTCATCCTGCCTATGCTTGGATTGATCCACTACTTGAGATAAATTCTCTTCACAACGAGCACTATCCGAGTAAAAAGGCCAAAATTGCAATAGATGAACAGAGTAAATAATGCAACGACCAGTTTTCATTGTCTCTATATCTTTAATTTCTTACGAGTCTTTACTACCATATGTATCTGATAAATTAAGTACCCATGATTTTAGCTGCTACATACCTATGAGCAAAAAATTCTTGCGAACCAACAATTTGATCATAATTCAATGGCTGATTTGATATCCTATCAAGTACTTTCCTGGATGGATTTTTTGTTCACCAGTCAGAGATCATGAATGTATACATACAAAAACATAGATATGTACCTCATATACAGCAATCTAATCTATCTTGGTTCGCATTTGCATTGTGTACCGTTCTGTTTTGAAGCAGTTAACAGGTTTACTTTTTATTGTAGGTGCCAGCAACAATGCTTATCCTGAAACATGGAAATCTTATGTCGGTATAGAGAAGATGGAGGACGAGTATGTGCTTACTTCTGCAGAATATTTGCTTTCATTGGCACATCTCAAACCTACATCTAGTGGTAAAGTTCTGTTTTAGCTTAATTTCTTATTTACAAGATTCCCCATAAATAAACCTTGGTTACCAATCCTTAACATTATTCCACCTTTTTGTGTGATGCTCCCATGGATTATACTAGTTAACCATTTAATCTGTTGGAATATGTGCAAATAAGGGAAAAAGTTAGCTATCTCAGTCAGCAATGTACTAATTATTTACCTCAAGGTTTTGTATTTCAAACTTGCACAATTCACATCTAACTTATGGTAAAGGAAATCTAGCCAGAATTGTCAGTTATATTGATATTTTAATCTTTTAAATCAAAACTGAATTCTAATGTGCATGGAAATATTATTTTGTATAATTATGTGTATACATTTAATAGGTTATGTCTCTTAAATGAAAAATCTGGAATGAAGTGCTAGCATACACCAACCTTTGAACTTTCTGTTACAATGGTCAAGTCGTTGCAGCCACCAGAAAAGAATTTATTATTCTTAAATCTCTTTATATTGTCAGTAGTGATCACAGTTCTATTCATGACACTTTTAGAAGCAATCATGAATATTCTTTTCTTTGCCATTTGTTAGTTGCCAAATTCCAAAATTTCATTCTTGTTTCCAAAAGTTCCCTGCAACATTTTTTTCTTGAATGTTGTAACTTATCACCTTTAAACACTTCTCACAAACCCTACAATGTATGTTAAGCATTTTTTGTTGAGAGAGCCAATGTATCCCACTATATCCATGCTGCTGCATGTTACATCTCATAGCTGGTTTGGAAGAAATTGTTTGCTTTTGTTTCTGCTCTTTGCTTTTTCCCTTTTCTTTTTCTTGTTTATTAATTGTTGACACATCCATGATTTCCTTCAGGAACCCAGAAAACACCACTAGAGGTTGTTGATCTCCTGATCCAGGCGAATTTATATGATATAGCATTTACAGTCCTTTTAAGATTCTTCAAAGGTTCAGAGTTAAAGAGGTATAGGTCTATATTATAATATTATCAACTTATTTTTCCTTTGTAATGCATAAAACCTGGAGTTTTCTTTTCTTCAGGGGATTGGAAAGAGTTTTCTCTGCCATGTCAGTGAAATGCTGTTCACATAGAGTTGATTCTTCATGGGTTGGGTAAGATAAATATTTTCCTCATATTCGTTTGGCTTAAATACAAAGTGTACAATCCTTATGTTGTACTAATTTATTTTTAACTGAATCTAAATGATGTGATGCATAACTTTCAGGGATGATCACAGAGCACATGGTCTTCTGTTGACTTCATCAAGGGATGAAGTGGTTGCTCATGGTTCACCTGATGTGGGTTCTACAAAACAACAATCCAAGGGAATCAATCAATGGGGAACTCTTGAGCTTTATCTTGTATGTATCTTCGGCGTCTTCAATCTTTTTAAGCTTCTTCTTAACCCTCAACTTTCTTTTATCAAATATTAGAAGGAAACTTTTATGAATGATAAGAAGGATTAGGTTCTAATTTCACATTATTGAAAAAGAAAACAATAAGTATGGTCTATATTTGCTCTTAGACAGCGCTGGCTATTTCTCTTAGAATGCCGTGATCGACTACATATAAAGATTGTAATGGTGTATTTCCAATTAGAAGGAACAAGAAAGAAAATGATTGAACGTGCACTTAATTAAGTTTTATGTGGCTGAGGTAGCGTGCACCTGCATTACTTACATATTAGTTCTATTTTCTCTCAGAAGGTATCACTGACATCTATATGATATTTTTTAATATTGATTTTACATTTTGAGTTCACAAGTACTTTGACTTGAATTACTTGTCTTTTTATTTTGAAGATGAATCACAAATTATTTTTAGAAGAAATACCTGCACAAATGGTGGGGATGGACCACACCACACTACCTGAAATATCTGCTAAACTATAAAATAAAAAAATACAAAGAAAGCTCTTAAATATCCAGAAAGACTTTCAATCTGTATAAATATCGAAAAAGGATCTTAAATTACTTGTCATGTGATTTGAAGTTAAAAACCGGATTTGATAGGCGTAGGGGTGGTGTTTTTATCCTCTGTTTGAATTTAAAATTTGGACTTGATAGGCGGGTTGACTCTGGTATGGGTGGCTATTAATATCTTTTGGTTTACAATCTTTTGTTAAATGGGAGCTTTACCTGAAGATTTAAATACTATGAACTTATTTTCAAAGGTTGTATTTATTATGGATATCTCAAAGCATCAAGTGTCTATTTATGTTCATAATCCTATACTCAAATTCTACGTGGCTGTATATTGTAACTGAGCCCTTCGGGTTAGCCCCATGTGGTCAGTGCGGGTGGAAATGGGTTAGGATTCGGCCAGGTCAATAGAAGAATGTTTAAGCATTTTCATCTTATCTTTCCCCTTCTGATCTCTAGTGTGTTTAGGGATCCAGCTTCCTAAATTAAAAGTTTTCACTTCCTATATTCTAATAGTTCTGTCATATAATTCTGTTTATTGTCTTTTAGGTTTACCAAATTTTCATTAATGCTTTTTATTCTCTTCCTATTTTATCAACATAATTGTAGCTGAGGCGCCTTTACTGGTGCTTCTACCCTTTTTTCGAAGTCAAATATGTCCATAAAATATGGTTAATGAGTTAGGAAAATTGTATACTCGTATCCAGAGGCGGATCCACAGAGGGACTTGGGAGGTCCCAGAACCCCTCGGTGATCCTAAAATGCTGTTAGAAATTTTCCGGGGGACCCCTTGACGAGAACACGAGGTCTGTGCTGCAGGTTGCAGCTTGCAACGGAGAAGAAGATACCGGGGCTGCAGGGGAGAAGAAAGAAAACATGGTTTTTAAAAAAGTTGGTCCAAAACGCAGTGTTTTGGCCAATTTGTTTAACTCTTTTTTTTTTTTTTTTTTTTTTTGTTAAAAACTAATGAGACAAACGGTGCCGTTTGTCAATTGTCCCTGATTCCATATGCCTAGCCCCACATGGGCCATCTTTCCCAAGAGTCCCTTTCCTTTCCCCGTTCTGTTCCTCTGCTTTTCCCCCTAATCCCCATCTTTCTTATATTCACCCAAAACCCTAAATTTCTAATCCCACCCAATCCCATATTATAATTACATTACTTCAATATCATACCTCCACTTGTTTCAATTCTCCAAGCCACCACTATAAGTTTTTTGGTATTCTAATCTAATCTCAATTAAATTATATTAGATATTGGTGGAGATTTTTAGTCTATTATTGATATGATTGTTGATATGTTTTATGTTTGTATACTCATTTTATAATTGAAATTTAGATGGAATTTTTGTTTATTGGTTGATTGGTATTTGTTTTGTGTTTTTGGTTAAATGTGTAGTTTAGAAATAAGAAATATGGAATGATTTTTCAAGCCAAAGCCAATAGCACCATTTACTTGTTTGGGTAGTTCGAGCTCAAGAAAAAATGAGTGTGACATTGATTTTAATAATCTTGAGAGAGACCCGGGAAAAAGAATTCGAACAAAGTACTATCCTTCTAATATTCAAGATGAGGTCCGAAGAGCATATTTGCAAATGGGACCTTGTAGGCCTACAAAGTATGAGTTTCCATACTTTGCAAATGGGACCTTGTTGGCTTTGGTTTTACTGGTTGCAACTGCTTCAGTGGAGAGGGCATTTTCCGCTATGAATATCATTAAGGGTCCACTTCGCAACAAAATGGGAGATCAATGGTTGAGTGAGAGCTTAGTTGTTTACATTGAGAAATACGTTTTTTCATGTATTGGTAATGAAGCTATCATGGAACATTTTCAGACTATGAAACCTTGTCGTGGACGTTTGAATTAGGATTTTATAGCTTGTAATGTTGTTTTGCACATGATTTTTGAATGAAATGTATTATATTTAACTTTTCAATGTTATTTTTATTTATAAATTTTTTGACCTTTATTATTGGGACCCCCTGAGTTTAAAATCCTGGATCCACCACTGCTCGTATTGTTTATAATGAGTTTAGTTCATTCTCCACCTTTCCCCATCCTTTTGTCTCTTTGCTTTGTTTAAGCATTTTTCATCTTATCTTTCCCTTTTGATGTATTTAAAAAATGCAGGACAAATATAAAGTGTTCCATGCCCGTTTACCAGTAATTGTTGCTGAAACTCTTCTCCGTACGGATCCTCAAATCGAATTGCCTCTTTGGCTGGTAAAGATGTTCAAGGTAACTCTCTAGGTGGTTTTGTAAATAAAAGAGGATGCCACAGTGTACAAAAATTTATATTCCTCTCTCTCTCTCTCAAACATGATACCCTTGTGACCGACTTGTGTTTTGATAGGATGGAAGAAAGGAAAAGACTTGGGGGATGACAGGCCAAGAATCAAATCCAGCATTATTATTCCAACTATATGTTGATTATGGTCGATACAGAGAAGCTACAAATCTTTTGCTCGAGTATATAGGATCCTTTGCATCAATGGTAAAGTACAGCTTGTTCTTTTCTATCTTGAGCTTCTGCATTCCTGCTTTTGCCCATGATATTAACCTCACATTTTAAAAATTGATGCCATTATTTGATTTCTATGCTGAAGCTTGGTTTATTTGTGGTTTGAGGTTCTTTGTATGAGCTTATGATGGTGGTGGTGTGGGTGAAGAGGGAGGAGGGGATGGGATTGGAGTGATGGCAGCCATTGAATTAGGGGAATTCGTGGGGCTTCATAGTGGGGTAGAAATGGAATAGATAGTCATTGATGAGGTAGTGGGGGGACTTTTTTTCTCCAAAAATCGGTTATTGCTAGTTTTTTCATGGGATATATAAATCTCTGGGGAAGGCAAAAATTATGGTGGTAACAAGTCCCATTTATACTCTCCTGACTAGCATTCCTCTTTTTTGTAACACCCCTATCATATTACTCTGTATAACACTCCTCCATCAAAATATAAGTGGTTCTTGTGCGTAATACCTGAGTTTTTGAAACATTAGAATGATATATGTATAGAGAAGTTAAAGAAAAGAAGAGATTAAATTGTTTGGATGTTGTGCTGATTGTAAAGTACCTTAGATTCTCGATAGGACAAAAACTAAATCGAAAGTAGTGTGTTGATTGCATGTCTTTAGTATGGTAGGTACAGCATCTGATTTCATATTGATTTCTGCTGGTTGTATAACTTAAGATGTTCTTATTCTACAGAGACCGGCTGACATAGTCAAGCGTAAAAGACCATTTGCAGTCTGGTTTCCATACACAGCAGTTCAGCGTCTGTGGTGCCAACTTGAGGAATTGATCAGTTCAGGCCACATGGTAGATCAATGTAACAAGCTCAAGAATTTGTTAAGTGGAGCTTTGCTGAGCCATCTTGAACTGGTACGCCATATTTTCAATCTACAGCTACTAATGGGGATGAACTCTTAACCTTTACCAATGTGGTTCCTCTGTCGTTTTCAGGTAAAAGTAGACTCAGAAGATGTGCTTTCTGCTTTTAGTTGAGAGAGTTCGTTTAGCTAACAAGATGGGCACTCTTTGAATTCAACCTTGAAGTTGAGCATCAGCTGCATTGTAGATATGCATGAGTTCTTACGAGGCAATGCTATCAAGTTACAATGGCAAATTGGTATCGACGGGAGCGTCTGTATACTATAGCTAGCATCTGTACTTTCAGTCCAAAAATTCGATCGCCTGTGTAGTTCTCAAGACAACTGGAAAATAGTGGGTGACATTTTCTGCTCCCCTTTCTTGTATTGTATAGATACAAAACATGATCAAACTTTCAAAGCGGATATTAATTTCATCTGGGGAAATGTATTGCCCTTCAAAAACCTGATCTTGTTCGGACGAAATTACACACAAAAAAACATAAATCATGGATGTGCATTATACCCATAACTTTTTGAGATACACAAACATATTACTACAGAAATGGAGCTTTATTGTTACAACCAGAACACTACTTAAAAAGAGCGATTCCAAGCCAACAAAGCTCATCGATTTGCTATGGTCGGAAAAAACGTCTATAATACACACATTGTTTTCACGATTCTAGTCTGTTACCTTTGCATTATAAAGGAGCAACCATTCAGTTGCGCCAAAGGTTGCCCTCACCCCTGACACTACTTAAAAAAGAAGAAAAAAAAAAAAAGAAAAGAAAAAAAAAAAGCTGTCTTTCGACCCCAACACTATTTACTACTTGTGAAGGGATTGCAGCGCCAAAGCAGACGAAAAAAGAAAAGGAAAAAAAAGTCTTTCTCAAAGAAAACAACGAACCTGAAGAGGGCAGAAAGTGGGTAAAACTTGTTTTTCCCCTGTTTCTCCGGAATGAACTCTCACTGAGCTCCTCAGTCCTCACAAATAAAAGAGCCTATTAGATTAGGAGAAAGCTTTAGCTGATCATCTTTTTCACTCTATGTTTCTGTGTCTTTTTTTTTTTTTTTTCCAATATTTCCACAAATTTTCTGCTCAAAGAGTACTCGTTTTTGTCATTCGCGTTGGAAAACATTAATATTTAGGACGTTTTATTGTTTGGGTTTTAGGTTCAGTCGTTAGAATTAAGTTTTCGTTTTTATTTTTTATTTTTTTAGGTTAGGGTTTAGTTGATTATAAATAGGATACTTGTTATTTACTTGAAAATAATTCAATCAAGATGTAGTCTTCAGTTTGTAGCCATCGGTATTTTTGTTTCTTGTTTTCCCTGTTTATATAATACAATTATTGTCTAAACATGAAATTTCGGTACAGTACGGTAATACTGTTGGTATTAGTTTTGAAAACCACTATCATACCTATTATGTTTAGTTCGGTAAAGTATCATTGCCGATTGATACAAAAGCTTGACACAAAATCAGTATGATGTAATTGGTAATATGGTTAGAATATCCATCCTATTTCATTCGCTTTGTTCAATTGCCTGACAGCATGTCTAGTGCCCTTTTTTTTGCATTCGATGGTGGGGAGGGTGGAATCTGATCCGGGAGTCAACACTTAAGGAATACAAGTAATAAAGGCATTTTAATTTATTTTTAATGATATAGGAACTTGAAAGTAATTTTTAAAGTATGGTGAGAGTCCCTTGAGAAGTTGTGGTTTATTTATGTTTCTATTATTTTTAGTTCTTAAAATATATTTGCTTTGTGGAATCAATAATTTACAACATTAAGCAAGATCCGTTGCTTTTGGTGGAGTGATTTTTAGGTTTTTTTTCTACATAAAAATTAGATCCAAGATCTCAAATACAAGAATAAATATTCTTAATCACTTGAGTTACAAAGCCTTGCAATGATAATTTACGTACTTCAAAGAAGAAAATGGGGTGAGCATCTGTCAAAGAATAAGGTACTTGGGCTAACCATTGAACTCGCAATTTATATTATGATAAGGGTAAGCTAAGGAGACTAACTTAAGCGTAAATTAAATGATATGAAAACTGATAATTAGATTATAACTTAAGCGTTGATAAACGTGCTCATTTCTATTGAAGACATATCATTTAATTTGCAAATATTGTTTACAAATCGTCTTCCTAGCACTACCCTTACGATAATTATTAAGGTTTTTATTACTAAACCGTAGTACTAGCAAATCAAAGTGATCGCGACAGAAACTACATTAGTGTTAATTAGTTTTTTGAATAAAGAAATCACACTTCAAAGGTCATACTAAACTCCTTTCGATGAAAAACTAAATAAACGGTGTCCGAAACTACTTAAAAGGTTTTGCAAAAACACAAAAGTTACTTCCACATATACTAAAAAGGATTTGCCACTTCAATGTTCAGTTTGTGTGTTTTCACAAAAATTTGAACAAACTAGTCCTAAGGTCAACCCAAGAGGATCTGAATTGCTCCATCAACTTCTCGGATGCCCGCTTCTTTGACTCGATTTCAGCGGCCTGAGGATGCATGGAGGCCAATTTCTGCTTGGCAGTTTTAGTCTTCTCAACAAAGGCAGCGAGAACCTCATCCATCTTCGTTTTCTTCTCAAGGGCAGCATCTAATATTGCTCGAAGATGTGCTATCTTCTCAGAAGCCACGTGTAAGCGTTCTTGCAGGGCAGGAAGTTTGACAGCTTGCGAGACCAAGAATTCCTGTAAAGAAGAAAACTCTGTAGCTGTATCAACATCTGCATGTGCTTGTAGAAAGGCAGTAGCATTGTGCGGGAGCTCATTCCTAAAGGCTGTCAACCTAGTCTTCAAATCATCAGATGGGAAGACACCGGATGACAATAGAACATCTGAAGAAGCAAGAAAAGCTTCTTGCGTTTCAGAGTTTGCTAAGGCATCGAAACCTCGACATAGGATTCCGCGGATAGTCTCCTTGGCAGACTCCACAGCTTCTGGCATAGTTGTGGGACGAACATCAGAAGGATGGGTAACAGATGCCTGAAGAAGGTCATTAACATCGTCCTGTAAAGAATTCAACTCATCCAACAACTAGTTGGATACAGCAAAGTCAGTTGATGAATAAAGGCAACCAAATACAAAAGATAAGAAACACTAAAGTTAACCTTGGGTGGCTTTAGTACTACGGTCTAGTGGTATTCCTCTTAACTTGTAAGTGAGAGGTCTTAGGTTCGATTCTCGCCAAAGGCGAATTTGAACTACATTATTGCTAGCCCATTGTGTGGCTTTAGTCTACCCCCTCGTCCCCCTTAGTGTAGATAATATTGTTTGTTCAATCAAAAAAGAAAAAAGAAGAAGTTAACCTTGGGTGATCCGGCCGGAGGAAATAAGCCTGAATCATTAAGGTTAGTCAGCAAGCTTGAAATTGCATTTGAGGGATGAATGGTTGCAGGATCCTGAAAATTAAGGCATCAGCCTAAGGGAGAGTAACACACAAAAACAATTAAGCAATGCTGGAATTTGAAGAAAAGCATTTATTTCCTTCAATAGAAGATAGGTGGACGGATAAGTTGTTGAAAACAACTAGGCAAGTGGAAGGATAGGTGGCATCACGGTTTGGATTAATAACTAGGTCGTCAACAATACTTCAGAAAAAGTTAACATTTCATATGATGACAAGAAAATATGATATCAATCCTACAGGAAAAGAAACAGGGAATGCAATTACCTCCTGATCAGATGTCACTGAGAATATCCCCATCGACGGAGGTGGAGTCACATCCATAGGAGCGGCATCAGTAACTCCAAAATATAAGTCTGCGTGCAGAGAATTCCCTAATTCCAAGGAGTTAGTGGACCCATAAGTATATACATGGGGGCCTGAGGTCTTTGGTGTCTGGAACAATGAAATGAATGTTAGTAGTTGATATGATGACAAAGTCTGTAGCTTAAAAGAAATTCTTACCTTAACCTTGAGTGTGTTGCCAACATGGTCAACGCTCTTCCTCTTAGCAGACAGTGGATTAGGGTCATCAGGGGCCAGAGAAGACGAAGTAGGAAGCGCTGCATGCAAGTTTGGGTTAGTATGTTAGAGTGCTTAGGATTCAAGTTTGCTTATTGTTTGGGTCTGAGTATTGACAGTAATTGGACGTCATCTTAAGCATATTTTTTTCTACTTAAAAATGTTCTATCAATCACGAATGCAATCATGAAAAGACAACAAAAACATATAAAATAAAAGAAAACCTCAGCCCTTGAAAGTATTAACAGATTTTAAAACTACAGAGACGATTTGGCTTCATTTTTCAAACAAATATAAGATTGAGATTGCACCATCTTAAGAATCTTATGCAATTAGCTTTATCAAATATTGGTGTCAATTGCATCCTCAGCAACATTTTTCAAGTGGTGAAGATAACAGTCTAACAGAGGATCAATCAACTGTAATTCATAGCTAAACGCATAATTGACACACAATTAAGCACGCAACAAGTTATACAACAGACAAACTATTACGTAGACAAGGGCACACACATGTGTACAAGATATTAGGATATTCACGTCAATATTGGTGTCAATTGCATCCTTAGCAACAATTTTCAAGTGGTGAAGATAACAGAGGATCAATCAACTATAATTCATAGCTAAACGCATAATTGACACACAATTAAGCACACAACAAGTTATACAACAAACAAACTATTACGTAGACAAGGGCACACACATGTGTACAAGATATTAGGATATTCACGTCATGTGTACAAGAAAATGGATTTGATATTATAAGAATTTGATGATGATGTGTGCAATTTTTCGACAAAAACGAAAAGAAACAAAAAACTGTAATTGAATCACAATTAGCAATACTCAATCAGTAGATACTAGATAATCACCTTCAATAGAAGGGGAGTTAGGACCCTCTTCAACAGATTCCGTTATGATGCAGCTGGCCCTATTTTCCCACTCCTCCTTGTAACATCCATAATTTTTATATGTTCCCCAATTTATTCCTTTGCGACCCCTCTTAGGACATAATTCCAACTCAACAAGGGGGCGCAACATACAGGTATTCACTTTCTGAATGCCAAATTGCTTTGGACTGAAATCGGGCCGATGATACACAGCCTTCTCATAGCAAAGGAGGATTGTCCTAGACATGCCCATTTTCTCCTGCCCGGCACAATACTCGGGAAGAAAATTACAGGGAAGCCTTTTGTATGGCTGCCAAACAATCTACAAGAAAACAAAAAGATAATAGAAGGTAAAAAGAAAGGACCAACTTACAAAAGCCAAATGCAAAAACACTTACATCATCCTCTATTAGCTCATCCAGCATTTGAAGATATTCCTGTCTAGTGGTTTCTTCATGAGTATTGGAGGGCTCGCATAGTAGTTTGGTCCATCCTGCTAACAAAGGAAAACTTGTTGGAAGATAATCATCCACCCGATTGACTCCATTGGACAAAAATCTCCGCACCAGCTTAGGAATACGCTCCATTGCAAAAACCTGCAAAAGGAAAATAAGGAAATCATAAACTTGTTGATAAGATCCGGAACATGAAAATTCAACAAATGGATTAACACTTAAAAAAAAAATTATTTCTTACCAGAAGGGAAAAGGTGTGTCCCATTAATATGTTTTTTCGCCGAGGTGAATAGAGTTGCTTAAAGTTCTCCAGTGAAAAATGAAGATGAGCTAGCAAAGCAGCACCCCATGCGTAGTCCTTTATGCTTTGAAGATTTTCCATGAGAGAAAGATAAATAACATGGACATACTTCCGAGAGTAATCAGGAACAACCACAGAGCCTATAAGATATAGTAGAAAAGCTCGAACATAAGGTTCAATGTCGGGACTATCTTTATCAATAGTCTCAGGAACTACCTCAAAATTCTCCCTCAGCCATTCTAAACTAGTGATACCAGCACTCCTTGGGTCAATACCATTGCAACCCAAGTATTTCATACAAAGCTCATCACCTCTTGAATCAATACCGGTGACAGGATTACCATCTACAGGCAGCCCTGTGATATACAATACATCTTCCAAACCAAAAAAAAGTTTATGGCTATTAAAAATGAAACATCTCTCTCTAACATCATAGGATTCTACAAGTACAGATAATAGGGGTAAATCATGGTTAATTGGAAAAGTAGTGAGCTTAAGTAACCCATCAAAACCAGTGTCCTTAATCCTCTCTTTAACTCTTCCATCAAGCTTCCATTCCCCCAATTTATTCAAGAGGTCCAGTGCTTCGTGAACATCCATCCGTTGCGTTAGAGAATTATCGGGCTGATAAGGCTAATCTGAAAAAAAAACATGTAGTGGAGAAGGCACTTAAGGAGCCTAATTTACAACAGAAGAAGTGCAAAATTGCTTGAGCAGGTACTTTTCATAGAGAAAAATCCAAATTAGTACCACATATACAAACCCAAATCATTTGACAACGAAATTCATATCTTTTACAAACCCTCAACAAAATCTCATCAGTGGGACAATGAGAACCGAGATCATACATTTGCAATTTTTCGAACCCAGATCATACATTTGCAATTTTTCAAACCCAAATCAGTTCAACACTGAGATGCATACATTTGCATGTGAGAGAGAAGCAGTGCAGAACAACAAAAGGAAGAACACAATCACTTAAATAATGAGAACCCAAATCAGGTGATGCATGCAGCCATATTTTTGCAAACCCAAAGTCATATCCAAGAAATTAGAAAAATCAAGCATGCATGAATATACTTTTACAAATGACCCAGATTTTGTGAAAGGATTGGGGAGCTAAACCTGCTATTTTTCTCACAAGTGAACCGCAGCCAAAAAGCTTCAGTCTTTCCTCTTTGCCTAAAAGAGTGGATGGGTATGGGACGGAAGGAAAATGAGACGTCACTGTGTTTAGTATTGTGATCATGTCATGAGAAGACAGAAAAAGAAGTGCTTCATTCTCCTTGGGAAGGCGCGCTCAATTACAAAGGAGGACGAGACACTCTTCTAGCACAATCAGGGTATCCCACCATTTTAAAAAAGAGAAATGTTAAAAGACTCTTTAGAGAATAGGACTCTTTATGGTTTCCGTCATTTTATATTGTTTTTGGCATAATTTTTGAATCAATATTATAAAATTTTGTGCCAAAAATTAAGGTGAAAAAGAGTCAAAGTCCAACTTTGAAAGATTGATTCCACCCACAAGTTCAGTCAGTTTGACAAATTGGGTTTTTAAGTTTTTAATTATATAAAAATAAAATTGTTTTCTATTATTTAAATATTTTAATTGACATGATAATATTTAATTAGATTTATAGGATCTAGTTACGTGTAACATTAGCACATAACATAATTTTTGACATAATTATGACGGAATGACCATATTAATTTGTGACACCTATTTTCAGAGATTACAGGTTTGTTTGGATGTGCTTTTAAAATGACTGAAAACACTTTTAGAGAAAATGTTTTTGGTTCCAAAGCACTTGAGGTGTTTTTTGTAAAAATCATCAATTTTCAGGAAGCACTTTAAGTACTTTTTCATGATTTACTTGCATCTTTACTAAAGATTGATTCTAAAACATTTTCACCAAAAAACGCTTTAAGCCATTTTAAAAGCACATCCAAACAAGTTCTATATTTATCGATTTTCAATTTCATAGACCATCTAAATTGAGTAGGTCAATTTCAATGATCATTTGCGATAAAGTCTTTTTCACAAATTGTTGACGAATGCTTCTTGGTCCCAATATTCTCACTTGGACCGCTAAAAAGCAATCTATTGTCCCTCGTTCTAGTTTTGTAGCTGAATATCGTGCCCTTACGACTACCGCCACTGATAGTCGATGGCCTTGCTATCTCTTTCCAGAACTTGGGACTCCACTCCGCACCCCACCCTGCATTTTTGTGGATAATGTCTCAGTCTTAAAGATGACTGCTAATCCTGTATTTCATACTCGCACCAGTCGCATTGAAATTGACTATCACTTTATTTGAGACCTTCTCGCTCAAGGTGCTTTACTCACCTACTATGCTTCCTCACAAAATCAAATTGCAGATGTTTTCACTAAGGGTCTCTCGCGTGATCGCTTTTCCTTGCTCAAGTCCAAACTCAATCTTCATTTTGTTCCATTTAGTTTGATGGGGATGACAAGAATATCACAAATCAAGCCACCAATGTCGCTCAATCAAATTCCATCCCTTAAATCCTTCTCTGTATGTCAGTTTATAAAAATTAGTCTTACCACATTTTCCTAAATGGAATCTACATGTGTTGATGACGCTATCTTTATTGGAGAGAATAGTATAAAATGTGTTTGTTCAAAAAATAAAAAATTATATAAAATGTGGTATAAAAATGCGGTAAGTGTATCATTACTCTAAATATTTGTTGACCCCTCAACCGCCGTAACGAAGGAATGAATCTATTAAGTGGGAAAGAGCCCTCGTAAGGTCTCATTCATCTTACCCGGCAAAGGCTTATGCTGAATCGATTTTTTCTTGGCCTTTAAAAGTCAACCTATAAGCCACTTAGTACTACGGTCTAGTGATATTCCCCTTCATTTGGAAGTAAGAGGTTTTATGTTCAATTCTCGTCTAAGGCGAGCTTGAACCACATTATTACTAGCACATTGGGAGGCTAGCCCACCCCCTCTCCCTTAGCGATAATATCGTTTGTTAAAAAAAAAAAAGTCAACCCATAAATCTGTACATATAGCAAAACGCTATTGTGTTAAGCCTTCTTTAATTCTCTATATGGTAAAACAAACTGATTTGGCTTTTCACAAGACAACTGGAATGAGAGCCTAATCGGAAACAATTTTGATTTGGCCAATTGTATTTATTTATTTAAGTGAGACGTCAAACATTTCATTAACGTCCGGTTTTTCATTCAAGTTGCTCTCTGTCTCTTTCTTTACTATTTCTGAAGGGAAAAGCAAATTAGAGGGAAGACTTGTTTGCTCTTTTCTCAGGATTGAGTTAAACTTAGCTCTTCACAGCCCAAAACCAAAAGCTTTGATCTTCTTTTGGACAAAATTAAAAAACAAAATAAAAGAAAGCTTTACTTTAAAGGGATTTTAGTAGAAGGTGATAGTTTTACTATGTTTCGGTTTTTACTTTTAGTAAACACAATTGTTCGTCGCAAAGAAGGAAAGAACTGTATGCCCTCTTCTCTTAAGGCAATGAACCCTGTACTATCACATCCCAATTTTTCACAAAATTTCTGTAAATATTCACTTTTTTGTCGGAAAGCTTTTCTACTCTAGACCTATAATAGGAAGTAGTCTTTTTTTTTTTTTCTTTCCTCGAACTATAATGGGAAATAATAATCTAGCATTTACAATATCGAGTAACTTATAAGCGAAAATTGACTTAGAAGATTTGGCGAGTTTTGATCCGACCGGATATAAAGTATAACAGTATAAATACTTGAGCGTGTAACATGTACGCAGAATCAAATTCAGAAAAAGAAAAAGAAAAAACTTTCACCCAGTTGAAAAAAACACTTAACCAGTCATTTTATGGAGGAAGTACAAGTGATCATCGTAGGTGCTGGCCCGGCCGGCTTAGCAACCTCAGCATGTCTTAATCACCTTAAGATTTCAAATGTAGTACTCGAAAGAGAAGATTGCTATGCTTCTCTTTGGAAGAAAAGGTCATATGATCGTTTGAAGCTACACTTGGCCAAAGAATTCTGCGAACTTCCCTATATGCCTTTCCCTCCAAATGCACCCACATACATCCCCAAGGATATGTTTGTTCAATACTTGGATACTTATGTATCCCAACTCGGAATAAACCCTAAGTGCAACCAAAACGTGAAGTCTGCTTTTTACGAAGTAGACATAAACAAATGGCGTGTCACTGGTCGAGAACACGCTTTTGGGTGCACAAGAAGAGTACCTTGGGAAGTTTCTTGTGGTTGCAAGTGGTGAAAATAGCGTGGGTTATGTTCCTGAAGTGCAAGGCTTGGATGAGTTCAAGGGGGAGGCCATTCATTCAAGCAAGTACGAAAACGGCAAGAAATATGGTGGAAAAAATGTTTTAGTCGTTGGTTCTGGGAATTCTGGCATGGAAATTGCATATGATTTATCAAATTCGGGTGCTAATACTTCCATTGTTATCCGTAGCCCGGTAAAAATTCTCTCTTCCTTTTTCTCCCACACAAGGACAACTTAAATTTTCCCTTTTTTCCTTTTCATTCGTTTTTTTTTTTTTTAATAAAACTTTTGAGTAATTATAGTTTGTATTTGATTTTCTTTCCTTTAGTCTCTTAATTTAAATAGTTTGTATTTGATTGTCTTACCTTTAAGTACATTAATATTTATGACTTGTTTAAAATTCGTAGGTACATGTTCTCAACAAGGAAATCGTACATTTCGGAATGGTTTCATTAAAATTCCTCCCACTTAACATAGTCGACAAGGCTGTTGTGCTCTTAGGAAAACTAAAGTATGGAGATTTAACGAAGTGTGGGATTCGAAAGCCAAATGAGGGACCTTTTTATCTCAAGGCAGCTAAGGGTCGAGCCCCCACTATCGATGTTGGGTCCATTAACAAGATTAAAACTGGAGAGATAAAGGTTTACAATTTTGAACAAAATCCTTCTTTTTTTCTTCATATTTAATTTCTTCATATTTATTTTCCATGTAATCAATCACAAGAGATTAACCTTGTCTTATGTTGATGATATAACGATTATTGAAATCGTCATCAGGTCTTGCCATCCATAACAAGCATAGACGGAGACCTGATCAGATTTCAGAACGGCAACGTTGATTCGTACAATGCTATTATATTTGCTACAGGCTACAAAAGCAGCGTTCTAAACTGGCTCCATGTATGCTATATCTAATGTTCTCCGTATATGTACCCGAGAAAAGGATAGATGAATTTGTATCCTTGCTAGATTGTTTATTCATTAAAAAAAGTGTGAGATTGAGATTTGATGTTTAGTCCTTGTTTATTAGGTCCACTATTTTTTATTATGTACCTAGCGAGTTTTGTACTATCATTGTTTGTGGATTACGGAATAAGTTAGTTTTGTGTGTATGAATTATACTCTTTATGATAAATAGAGTCCCATTTTGATATATGTTTATTGTTTTCTCGTGAAGGATGACAACCATTACTTCAACGAGAATGGAATGCCACAAAAAAGTTTCCCGAATCACTGGAAATCGGACAAAAAGGGTCTTTACAGTGCTGGGTTCTCAAGGCGTGGGTTATTTGGAATTGCATATGACGCACGAAGTATAGCAGAAGACATCAGTTCGTGTTTGACCTCCTGAGTTGCGTTCAAGAAGACGCCCTTTTGTAGGGGTTACGTCTTGATATCAGTTTTGTTTTGCTATAACTTTCCATGTAATGTTTAATGTTAGAGGTTGTTAGTTTTCTTGGGTATCAGTATAGCCCTAATGATACCGATGTCATCTTCTTGTCGCCTCCAAAATCTTTCGTTTTCTCTAGCCCTGGCCACACAGATGGTCTTTTCTTGTAGCCGCCAAAATCTTTTGGGTTCTCAAGCCCTGGCCACACCGGTGCCATTTTCTTTTTGCCTATAAAACCTTCCGGTTTCTCAAAAAGCGAATCAAGTTTCACCGGTGTCGATAATTCAATCCACAATGGTACTATGAGAAAATGATGGAGGACTTACAGAATAGTTAACTTCACAATGAGTATGTGTATACCTTGTTTTATGCGTGTACGTGTATACGTATGAAAGTCCTTATATGGAGAGGTCCCAAGAAATCCTAAATCATGTAAAAGACTGTAAAATTAATCCATTTCATAGTCCTAGTAGAAAACCAACTTAAACAAGTTCGTCCAGGAGGTCATGCATATTAATTCTTACCGACATGGCTTATTATTATAAAAAATTCAACGACCATGGCTTGTTCTTACAAAGACATGGATTATTATTAATTACTATTATTATAAAATACTTTTGAATGCGTGATACAAAATACATAATTTTGGTTAATAACTATATAAACAGTGGTTTATTTCAGAATGTGTTATCAAAATAAGTTCGGAACACTTTGGAGAAATTCGGAATTTCTAAATG